ATGCTTGCCTGCAGGTTTCGTGAGAAGTAGATCCGGCAGATCGCAGTCAGGAAAAAAACTGCTGCATGCGTCTGGCGTGCATCCAGAAGTGTCATGACATGTGAATGTGCGCATTTCATGACATGTAGCTAGGAGCTCACTGTGGTGTTGAGATCCTGTTGTGCCCAGGTCTTGTCCATGGCGTACTTGCCACTGCCCTAGTTGAGTTCTAATTCGGTTGTTCCACTTTACTGTGATTGCTGCTGTTCTGCGAATGGTCTGGGCCTCAGTTGGGGTGGGGGCATGGTTCATGAACATGTCATGCCATGACAATCATGTACATTTTAATCACGCATGGTGGTTCACGTTCATGCCATGTTTTTCTACATGGTGGTCCATGACATGTTGGTTCATGACATGGTGGTTCATGACATGGTGCTTCATGACATGGTGGTTCATGCCATGGTGGTTCATGCCATTTTCTTTCATGGTCTAACAAACATGTTCATAATTGTGTTCATCCATACATGGTGGTTCATGTTCACGACTTTGAGTTAAGATTTGTATTGTTGTTCATGACATGTTGTTTCCAACATGTTTTTTTCATGGCATGTCAGTTTATCATGCATGGTGGTTCATATTCATGGATTTTTGGGTCATGGCGGTTCATGCATGGCCGTTCGATCATGGTGGTTGATTGTTAGGTAGATGTCTTATATATTCTGAGTCATGCCATGGGTTGGGGGAGGGTCTGGGTGCAGGCGATCCATCCGCATAGCTGCAATCATTCTAAGGGGGTGTGATGTATCTATTTTGTAGGGGCTTTGGGGTATGACGAAATATCGGTTTGGAAAAGGGTTTGTATTTGATTTGGTTGGCCTAGTTCTAAGTTTCAATGGTTATTTGTATTCATCATTTTGTTAAGCAGAATGACCAAATTTCTATCCTCTCAGGTGAGAACAGGCTACTGCTCATGGGAACACTATGCGCCCAACACTGCGAGCAGTGCGCCTTTGCAATGGTAATTTTCCGTGTGACTCATGGTGATTGCAGACTGCTTGTTAGCTTGGCATGTTTTTCTTTCTTGACTGATAGCCTTTTGGCTTTTTTGGGCAGAACGGGAAGGTTTTGCCCAGGCACTGCGAGTGCTCATGGTGAAAAAGTTGGAAATTGTCAAACAATTTCCGGACCTAGTGTCCCAGTATGTTGCTGCAATGGCAGCAGAGCCAAGGTTGCTGCAGGCGCGCTTTCAATGATGGGATAATGTACGACTCCGCTGTTCCAACGACAGCTGCAGGTGGGCTTTAGTTTGGTCCAAGCACACTCAGAGAACCTCTTCTCCAAGAAGTGTGAATGCACTTTGGGGGATGTAGAGTTGAACGCTGAGGCACGTCTCCTGTGTTTGCTGTGATTATTTTGCCATCTTTTCCCAAGATGTTCATTATGTTTGTGGTTGCATGTTTGCAGGTCGTGCGCACCATCATGCGCGTCACACCCTGGGCCCGCATCTCTGAGGAGATGCTTCGCAAAGCAATAGTGCAACTGTACACTGACCATGCCTTGGTCCCAACTGGGATAACAGTGGAAGCGATGCGCCAGTGGTCTGAAAAGATGGCGTTTGGCATCCACAAAGTAGTGAGGCGTTTCCGGAAACTCTACACTGAAAGTCCTACTAGCAGCAAGAACGTCAAGATCCAGGCCTTGAAGGAACGCTGCATGAAAAGTAGCGTGCCAGTTTGCAAGCCTTTGGCCTCCAGCGACTCTCTCTGCTCTACTCCCAGGTCTGCTTCAGCTGAGGATTTGGAGAAAGTTGCTCCCCCTCCCATTGATTGGGGGAATGTCCTCGAGAGACTCCGTCAGAACAAGTTGAAATCCCAAGAGTCAGGTGTGCAGTCTGGAGAAGGTGGACCTGAGGTTGCCTCGAAGACAGCTGCCTTGGAACAACGGCCGGTGGCCACACCAGCCAGAGCCGTGCCCAAGCAGGATACTGCTCAGAACAAGTTTCTGCTGCCCCAGTATGTGGTCGAACAGTTAGAAAAAAAGGAAGAGTACGCGCAACCCTTTGACACTCGGGGCACTGATGATGGAGAGGAAATTGGTGCGATTGATGCTGAGTTATCTGTGCCAGCCAAGAAACCAAAGAAGGCCAAAAGATCCAGCAGAAAATCGAAAACAAAGAAGGAAGTCTTTAAGGCAGAGGATGAGGCTGCCTTGTCTGAGGTCACTGGACCTGCTGCAGAGCAAGCCTCAGGTTCCACGAGTGCCGGGACTGCTCGCAGCTATGTGCCGGGTGAGTTCGCTGAAGCCCGAAAAGCTTTCATCAAGGCTGCCAGGGCTGAACATGGCATCAAGCACAAGGCAGCCAGTGACATGTGGATGGCATCTGACTTAAGGGCAGGGTTCCTGTCTGAGATGGGCATAGCAGAAATGAAGAAGCGTAGGTTTCTGTGATAACACGGCGACCTGTCGTCAAGTTGCTCCAGCTGTGTGGTAATAGCCACATTGCTTGCTGAAGCGTTTGGGGGTGAAAAAAACATGTTGCTATATGGGTAGGGGTGTGTTGTTAAGAATGTTTTTTAGCGCATCTCTGCCAGCTTCGCATGCAACCATTTTTCCTATCGCCACAGTTTTTTGTCCGCAGCTTGTCCCACTCACAGCTCTGTCAGCGCTCTGCACTTCTCAAGATGTTGGCTGACATCTTGCGGTGGAAAGCTCCCCTGGTTCTCATCTTGCTACATCTTTGCCTAGTGAACAACTATGCTTGTGACCATGACGAGGTCCGGTAAATGGTTTCAAAGTGCCAATCATGCACACTGTGATCTTGCAGGTGAATGATTTCGTTGAGTTCTTTTGCGGCCAGCAAGCCGTGTCGACTGCCCTACGACAAGTTAAAGCCTCAGGGGTGATCATGGTAATATCTTTCAAAAACTTGAGTTCCATTCATTGAGGCTGGTTTCTCGGGAGCCTCATTTGATATCCTTCTCGATGAGAGCTTTGACTATTCCAGAGCAGCTGGTTTTGGGTCAGTGTCTCAGCCTTATATTTGGACCGGGTTCTGTGACATGTGATGTGCTTGTAGGCTCGGCCTTCTGGCCATTTTGCGATCTCGCCCCGGAGCGTTGCACCTCTATGCCTTGCCCTGCAACAGTTTCTGTTTTCCGTTACTTGCTTGCATGCGTCCTGAAACTTTGAACATAGTTTTGATAGACCTGGTCTGCCAATTACTTAGGTCCAGTGGAAGCCATCAAAGGAGCATTTTGTTCCCGTTGGGAAACTCCAACATTCCCTTCGTGACCTTGGGCAACATGTTATGTGCCCGTGTGGCGTTGGCAATTTGGTACAGTACTCTGAAAAACTGTATATGGGTGTTGGAGCAGCCACATGGAAGTTTTGCGGAGCTCCATCCGCGTTTGGCTGCGCTCTTCTCCGCCATTCAGGCTGGCTGAAGTTGTGTACGTGTTTTAGTTTTGTTACAGTCAATCCTCTTGTCTTTGTGGATACATGCAGGTCTTTCGGGCAGAGATCTGGGGTGGTCTCTTTGCCTCTGACTCCAGCATGGCCAGGCCCAAGCGACACATTTTGTATTCAAACGACGAAATGTTTTTGAAACGTTTGGCGGCTTTTGCCGCCTCTGCAACAAAGGAGCAGTTGAACAATATGAAGGGAGAACCTTTAGTCAAACCATGCACGAAACCTGATGGCTCTCGGGGCTTTTGCGGAAATGGCGACACCATGAAGCAAAGCCAGCACTTGGGCTGCAATCTGTGCATAATATGCATGTCTCGAATGAATTTGGTTTATAAGGAACATGTGCGGAATCGACCTTTCTGGCCTGAGGACATATCATCCTGCTTTTGGATGGTATTTGGCGCAACTCTTGAAGGAAAGTGGTGATCGAAACTGGCCGGTCCAGCTCTGAGATGTTTTTGTCGTATAGTTGTCTTGGAAAGGGATTAGAATCATTCTATTCCATGTCACTTAGTGAGGCTCGTCAAGAGCCACCTCCTGCAGCAGCAGCAGGGTTGTTTGACAAGTCCGACTTGGAATTGTTCAAGGCCCGTTTTCTCATCTTTCGTTTTATGATTGCAGAATCCTTTTGCTCAGGGATTGTCCTTTCAGCACATGGATCGATGGGATGATGCCCGGACCTGAATCATTGACCCCTGGTGTACATTTTACTAACCCATGAATGGAACTCACGTGCGCATATCAAGTTCATTTGTTTGCCATAATAGCTGTGATTCCTCTGTCTTTGCTTCCCATTCGTGCATTGGACTTTTGCAGGCTGAAGCTATGCAGTTGATCAAGTATTTGTCCAGGAGTAGCGATTTTTTGCCTTCTGACCGTTGGCAGAAACCTTTGAAACGTGCGTTTTGCTTGGTGCTGCCTTCCAGTGCCAAATGAGCACATGCCCATCTAATGGGAGATTTGGGCCACCTGTTGGCATTTTGACTTTTGCCCGCAGAGCACCCGAGAAAAACCCGAGAAAAAGCCGGGAAAACCCCCCGTACTTCCGAGAAAACCCCGAGAAATTTCTTGGGTACTGGAAACAGCGTTCACACACATGTCTTGGCCACTGTTGATTGCGATTTTGGCAGCATTTTCACCTGTGAAGTGTTAAGTAGACAGCTGTGACCATGCAGACTGAAGACGTGTTCATGGAATGCGTGAATGAGTTGAAAGAGCAGTTTGGACAGCTGCCCACTGCTACACAGCTGAGTGAAGCAACCGGCCTTACTGTGGCTGCCTGCGAACAAGTCTTGTCAGAGCTGGATCTCGAGATTCTTCCTGCCAAGAAGCCTCGCCGGAGCAGTGCCAGTGCTGCCAAGTGTGCAGCTGCCAAGACTGCTCCTCAGGGGCCTGCGCCTGAGGCTGCTGCCAATCAGCCCAGTGATGAGGAGGAAGCTACCGAGGATCAATGCCAAGTCAATGGTCCTGTGCGCGCAGTCTTGGCAGGAACTTTGGATGATACGGACCAGGATGATGATGCCACACTGCACCATCCAAGTCCAGGCTCTGAGATGGAAGATGATGGAGTTGTTCCTCACAAGGATCTGCCAGATGGGAAGACCCCTTCTCAAGAGACACCACTGGCTCCTGCCAAGCGCCAGCTGTCTTTTGAAGATGGCGTGTCCAAGAAGCCGAAGGCTCTAAGGAATGTTTGTTCCGGGGGGACTCGAGGGCTCACTTAACATTTTCACATTCCATGACATACCATGTCAAAACATGCCATGCCATGCCATGCCATGCCATGCCACAGCATGCCATGCCATGCCATGCCACTCCATAGCATACCATGCCATGCCATGACAAGGGCTGGTTTATATTTTTGCGGTAAGTAAGGGATTAAAAACATGGGTGTGCATTAACCTGACATGAGGATAAGGGTCATGCCATTCTTTCACATGAACTGTGAACTTGTTTTATTTTTCACTGCAGGTGCTTCCTGCGCTTGACCACCAGGACTCCCAGAGGCAGGGTTATGTTGAGAAGCTACTGAATAGTATTTCAAGTTTGTCCCGTCTCCAGGTCACTTGCAACGCTGCTGCGTGGGCAGCAGTTGTTGCGTGCACAAGGTCTGGACATTGATCTTCAAAGCCCTGAGTCCTTGGAGAATATGGCCCGACTGCCTGGGCCTCAAGTGCATGTGATATATACCATTTGAATGCATTGTTTTCTTTTTGTGCTCTTGGCCTCATGCGGGGGGATGCAAGACATATAAGGTTGCGTGAAGATACTCTGGAAGCTCCAAGTACTCCTGCCATCTCTCCTGGTCCTGATGGTGATACTCAAGTGGACATCACAGAGACGTCAGTCGAACCTGCCAAAGTGCCAGCTGAGTCCAAGCCGGTCGTGCCGACCTTGGACATTCCAGAGAAGGACTGCACGTCCACCAATTTCAAGAAAGAATGGCTCTTGCTTGGAAGAGTCGCTGCCGGCCCAAGAGCGACAGAATTTCCACAGATCGCCAAGGCCTTCGGTAGTGGAACCAAAGCTAAACAAAGAGATGTCTTGAAACGCTACCTCCAACATGGAGGTAACCTTGACGCTATCGAGACCAGCTTTACTGTCGAACGCAGTCATGAGGGAGAACATGAAGGTACCAAAGAACTCCTCACGATAGATGGCATGCGAAAGAGAGGATGTAGTGAGCGCCTGGGCTCAAGACATGTGCACATCTCTGGGTATAAGAGAGTAGATTTGATAAAACAAAATGTTACTACATTTGGGAGATTCGATATGGGGCAGCTGGTAGATAGATATATTTGTCTTATCTGGTAACTGGACTAATTCTATCATGTCTAGTTTTTATGCATTCAATATTGGTCAGAAAACATGTGTTTTCCCCCATGACATAACCACTATTCACGTGTGCAGGCAACCGCACATATCTCCATGACATTTTCTTACAGTATACGTTGGTTGTCGTCCTTGCTTTGTTTCATTTCTGTGCTGCTTTTTTGCATTGTGTTCTGAATGCTTGCAGGGCGAAGATAGCCGCCTGTGTGGCGAGGGGTGGAATCCCTGACAGGGATTGTCCCTCGGATGAAGCCTCTATGAGATTCTGGTGCCACCTGTCTGAGAAAGAGACAAACCGAGACAAGGTCAAGGTCAAAACAACAGCTCAAGCGCAAGTGGCTCCTAGTACGATGGTGGATGCTTTGGGAACAGCCTTCCTACCGCAGAATGTGGTGCATGTCGCCAACCCTGCCCAGATGATTGCTAACAGAGTGGCTCCTGCAGCAAGTTCTTCTCAGCCGTCAGAGAACGTTTCGCCTGTGCCTCCAGGACCGTGTTTTTTTTTTGGATTCCATTTTGTTTTGTCATTCACTTTCTCCCCTATAGGACGTGCTGCCAAAGCGAAGAGCAAACCGAAGCCTTTGCCAAAAGGAGCCGCCAAAGGCCCTCTTGGAATGGACTTGGCCCAGAAAACGTTGGAGCAGAAGAAGGGATTGCTGCGTGCTGCCCTCTGTTTTTGGAATGAATTTAAAGCAGTCATACCCTTGTGTTCACTCAGGTAATGAGCTGAAGAAAGAGCTGAACCATGTGAACGGTCTCTTGTTGGACTTGCAAAGTTGTGGGTACAACATGGATGAAGGGGAAAACGCTTTGAAGCAACACTACGGCACTCTGAAGCGAGACCATGCAAAGTGCTGGCCTCAATTCCAGTTTGCTCACTGCTGGCTGACAATCGCGCCATGCTGTTGAGGATTGCAGCTGTTGACACGGAAGAGAAGTGGGACAGTTTTTTGGCTTTGGCAGCTCCTGCGGCCTGTGCCTCAAAAGTTCGTTTTGTGCTTCTGTTTTTTTTTCATTCGGCCCAGGTCACTGCAGCCCGAGTCAAGCGAGCAGAGCTGGGTGCCGCTCTGCGAGAGATCCGAAAGTGATCCTGCCGTGTTAATTTTTCTCTCTTGTCAACTTCAGCATGACGCAATCGCCAGGGGCGCTGCCTGAATGTGAGCCGGCCCCGAAAGTTTTGAGCTTAAGATCCCTGTGTTTGTTGCTGCTTACAATGTGCAGCATGGACTTAACACATGGCCAAACCAGAATCTTGAAACCATCGCCGTGATGGCAACGCAGTTTGGGGAAGAGCGGACAAAATTGCTTTATGCTCATAGCAAATTTGTTCATGATCAGTCATGGCATTCATGACCATGTATAGTCTGTCCTTTTGCGCTACTTGTCTTATCTTCATGCCTCTCAAGTTTGCGCAGGTACTGCTGATGGCCAGTCTGCCTTTCGTAGATCCTTGGATGAAAGGACCATGCCTGAGGTAAGTGTGCCACACTGTACAAACCGTGCTTGGCTAAAATGCAGGATGGCCGCAGAAGTTGGCCTGGGCCATGCTAGTCTAGCATCGGCTGTGAGACTTGGGACGTGCTATGGATCAGAAATCTTCAGGCGCCCCATGCAGATAGATTGGCATGTTCACCTTCAGCTCTTCTTTCCAGGGGAAGCGTTGCCCAAGATGATCGAGCACATGCGAGATTCCAAGCGGCTAGCCTCTCTGTTAAAGGGGTGATCACTTGGCACCAGATCCCCACGAAAAATGAAAATGGAGAGATGGAGATAAAGTCTTGGCCGATGATTCTTCCGCATGATTTGGCCTGAGCCTTAGGTGTATTGAAATTGCCATATTAACCTCAAACCGCATGGCCTTGCATGGAATTGAAGAAAGATATTTTTGCATAGGACCATCTAAGTTGCGAATCCTTAGGTCAAAGCTATGGTTGAAACTGGCCACCGACCAATTCTTGGCTTCGCTCCTCCAAACTATTGGAGTCGCATGTGTGCTATGGGACACCCCAAACCTGCTGAAGGAGATTGCTTGGCGCTACATCTCTATGGCGATGAAGGACAAATCTTCAATGGGACTGAATACCTTTGTTTAAATTGGATGTGTGAGTTTTCGCCCTTTTATCAGAACAGTCGCTACAGTCGCTTCCTCATTGCGATGGTGCCAACTGACATGTATTGGAAGAGCGCTGACAAAGTGAATCTGACTTTACAAAGTTTGTTGCAAGTCATTGTGCAGTCCATCCAAACACTTGAGACTGCTGGGGCAGCTGGACTGCACGGGACCTGCGTTGTGTTCAAAGGCGATTGGAAATTCCTGGTCCAGTCACTGTCCTTGCGCCATCACCCAGGCACGGACAGAATTTGCTGGTGTTGTCCAGCAACTAAGAGCTTGAGGTGCCCTTACGTGGATATGAGTCCGCAAGCCTTGTGGAGAAACACACCTGTTTGCGATGGAGACCCGTGGCATTCCGAACCTGCTATCAAGAGCTTGACTCATTGGCCGATAATTGGTTTAGATATCATGCATATGCTACACCTTGGGGTCATTCGTGACCTCGTTGGGAGCGTGTTGGTGCTTCTCGTCCGTTGCAAATTCTTCTCTGGCAGCAAGGCTGGACACAATACTAAATGTCAATGTGTTTGGCCTTTGAACTTATATATCATGTTTGCAGATTCAACCATGTGCTTTGCCAGGCAGAGCAAAGGATGCATGATGCCTCTGTCAAAATCAAAGAATGGGCCCGGCAGCACTCTGACAAACGTTTTCCCAAAACTTGGAAATTGACCAAAGCACGTTTGTCCTTGAAGACAGGTAAACCTGTACACTTGACAGGGAAAGCCTGGCAAGCTGGTGTGATCTTGGAATACCTGGCGTCTCTGTTTGAGACCAATGACGTGCCGCAAATTGCCAATGAAGTGAAATGTACTGTGTGGGCTTGTAACAATTTGATAGGCCTGTTGCATTCTGCTCGTGCTCAGGGCCTCTTTCTGCAACCAGAAGAAATTCGTCAGGGACAGGTTGTGGGCAATTATTTCTTGAGAACTTTTGTTTCCTTGAACAGGCAATACATCCGGGTGTGCCCCTTTGTTCTCTTTCATTGCAGACCGAAACTGCATTTGGTCGCACACATGGTCAGTGCGTTATCCAACGAAAGGAATCCGGTTGTGGATTGTCTCTGGATGGACGAAAATTGGATTGGCCAGATCATGTACTTGGCGAAGAAAACACACAGAAGAAGAACGCATGCTTCGACACTTTTTCGTTACTGTGCAGGACTGCTTAATTTGTTTAGATCACTTTTTTTTTGGCTGCCTTTTTTTGGCAGGACTCAAAGCAGCCTTGCAAGAAGCCATGATGCGTTTGGTTTGGGCCTCAGATATTCCCTTCGTCGTGGCCTCAGTTTTCCATTCGTTGGGACCTCAGTTTACATGGTTTCATGACATGACATGTTGTTGAAACATACATATGGTTTCATGTCGTGTTGTTGAACAGACATGTGGTTCCATGTCATGTTGTTGAAACATACATGTGGTTCCATGAAATGTTGTTGAAACATACATGTGGTTCCATGTCATGTTGTTGAAACATACATGTGGTTCCATGACATGTTGTTGAAACATACATGTGGTTCCATGTCATGCTGTTGAAACATACATGTGGTTCCATGACATGTTGTTGAAACAGATATGTTGCATGACATGTTGTTGAAAGTTGTTTTGTTTCATTTTGTGGAAACGTGTGGTTGCATGACGCGTTGTTGAAAATGTTGTTCCATGACATGTTGCTAAAGCATGTGGTGTCATGTCACGTTGTTGAAACATGTAGTTTCACGAAATTCATTCTGGTCTGGGCCTCATTTGTTTTGCGTGTCTGCGCGTTCTTCAGGTGAGCTGTCTTGTGTTGCATGCCTCCTATACTGAGGCTGCCAATGAGATCAGACCGGTGCGCAGGTTTCACGGATCGTGTGACCGATAGAGAGGAAAAGTTTGCTGTTGCTCATGCAGTGGACATGTGTGGCTGCAGAACTATGTCACTGCCTTGTCAACTTCTTGTATCTTTGGAACTAGGGGGTTTTCTTGAAGGTAGCGGGGTTTTCTTGGGGGTAGGGGGTTTTCTTGGGGGTACAGCTTCATCGTGGGTTTTTCTTGAGGATATGTAGGTCTAGGTAGCCCATGCAACATTCATGCAGCCATTACAATGCGTTTCGCAGCATCCCGTGGCAAACCTGCACCTATCTATGCACGTGGCCACATCAGATGACGACAATCAAGCAGCCATTCCAATGCAACTGCAACCAGAGATTCAAAAACCGAATAGAACTATGCACACAGACACAACCACTCGTTGCAAAACACATAGGAGGAACAATTCGCGCATGAAACGACCGCAGCCGCACCCGCCGCACACACGAGGTACCTTTCATCGCCGGCTGCAGCCACTTTGCACGGAAAAACACAAGGTTTCGTGCCCCGGCTTCCTCCCCAAAACATAGCCCATGCAATATTCATGCAGCCATTACATTGCGTTTCACAGCATCCCGTAGCAAACCTGCACCTATCTACGCACGTGTCAACATCAAATCACGACAATCAAGCAGCCATTCCAATGCAATCTGCAACCAGAGGTTCAAAAACCGCATAGAACTGCGCACACAGACACAACCACTCGTTGCAAAACACATAGGAGGAACAATTGGCGCATGAAAGGACCGCAGCCGCACCTGCCGCACACACGAGGTACCTTTCATCGCCGGCTGCAGCCACTTTGCACGGAAAAACACAAGGTTTCGTGCTCCGGCTTCCTCCCCAAAACATAGCCCATGCAACATTCATCCAGCCATTATATACATTGCGTTTCGCAGCATCCCGTCGCAAACCTGCACCTATCTACGCACGTGGCAATCTCTTGACGACAATCAAGCAGCCATTCCAATGCAATCTGCAACCAGAGATTCAAAAACCGCATAGAACTACGCACACAGACACAACCACTCGTTGCAAAACACATAGGAGGAACAATTCGCGCATGAAACGACCGCAGCCGCACCCGCCGCACACGCGAGGTACCTTTCATCGCCGGCTGCAGCCACTTTACACGGAAAAACACAAGGTTTCGTGCTCCGGCTTCCTCCCTAAAACATAGCCCATGCAACATTCATGCAGCCATTAAAATGCGTTTCGCAGCATCCCGTCGCAAACCTGCACCTATCTACTTGGTGGTCGCTTTTCGTCTAGGCCACTTGCAAGTACTTGCAACCCCCCTTGCAACCTCCTTGCAACCATGGTGCAGCATGTTGCAAGTACGGTAAGTACGGTAAGTTTTTAAGTGAAGTTGGCGGACTTATAAGTTACAAACCAAACATATAAGTATTTATAAGTTTTTTAAGTCGTTTTCAAAAAAACAAAAAATGTACTTAAATTACTTATAAATTACTTAGCATACTTAGCTTTTTTCATGTTTTTAAATATGTGTTTTTGTGCAATTTTTTTAAAGCACGTTTCATCGATAAAAAAAAACGGCTACACCATAGGAGCTTTATTGGAAAGTGCAGCCTATCATGAAGCATTTGAGCCACAAATCATGGAGTGGCATTCCATCTTTGCGATTGAGCATTGTTTTAAGTGCGGCTCTTTGAGCCGCATGTGAGACTAGCGACCAGTGAGCAGCTGCGATAAAAAAAGACGAAAGAGCACTGTCTGCACATGGTTGGCATTGGGTGACTTCAGCGGTTCAATGAACCGCGCAAAACTTTTGCGTAGGTATACAACCTGAAACAAATGATATATGTATTTATTTATATATATATATATATCGATTTTGGAAATATTTTTTTCAGGAGGGCGGCTCATTGAGCCGCCACTAAATGGTATGGTATATAGGTGTTCTTGATTGTTTGGTTAAAGGTTGGAGGATGTGTATATATGTATATATATATATAGAATGATATATCTCACTATAGTATATGCACCAAATATAACACAGAAACATATAGGTAGATACATAAACAAACAGATATCACCCAGGTACATGTGAATATGGGTCTCGGATTGTGGAAAGAGCGGCTCATTGAGCCGTCCATGCATATAGGTTTCATGCAATGTTACTTTTGAGTTTTTGGCTTACCTGGTGAAATGGATGCTACAGCATGTTAGAACTTATGTATACACACTTCAAACAGACAAACACGAAAGATTCAAGATTGATGGCCTCAAACCATTTTTTTAATGTTTTTTTTTCAAAATGTACTTACACATGGCTACACATGGCTACACATGTGTAAACCCAGTTTTGGTTTTGTTTTACACATGTGTAACTCCATTTTTTTCAGGTTTACACATGTGTAACTCCATTTTGTTCAGGTTTACACATGTGTAACTCCATTTTGTTTTTGGTTTACACATGGCTACACATGGCTACATATGGCTACACACCCACTACACATCTGAGAATTTTTCCAAGATCGCCAGTTGTATGGCCTGAGGTTTTACCACTCTCTGGGAGGGAGGGGGCTCAATGTCAGGCACCTCATGCATATAAGTCCTTCAAATTGACCATTCAAACATAAGACATCACAAAACGTTTTATTGTCGACAGGTTTCTTGTATGATTATATTATATAGATGGGGATGGATATGAATCAAAATGATGTGCACTTTTTGGCTCCAGGAATGCCATTTGTGGTGTCCTTTTTGGTTTTCAAAATTCATAATGAGTGATACCGTTATCTCTGTAGATTGTTGTGCGGCCCAATGGGCCGCAGGAGAATGCAGAAGGCTGGACAGGCATTTTAGATCTTTTAATGTGTTAGAAATTTATTAATGGGGTTGCAGAAGCGGCTCATTGAGCCGCAGAGGTACATTGGACTTGCATGACAAACTTTTTTTTCACACAACATCTTTGCAAGTGCGCAGTGAAACTGATACACCATGCAACTGAGAAACCATGACAGAGAAACCATAAAATGCCAAACGATTCAACCCGTCAAGTCTGAAGTGCGCAAAGTTGCGCAAATATTTGAACTGTCTTCTTATTTGTAGTTGCTGCGGCTCAATGAGCCGCACATATATATATATACATATATATATACATATATATATATATATACATATAGATTCTGGTGTTAACATGCCTTGGTTTTGATTTTTTTTTGTAAAAAAAGTTGGTGCGGCTCAATGCGTCGCACATACATACATATAGATTCTGGTGATATGTCCATGCAAAATATATGAAGGAAAAACAGAAAAAACTATCTCTTTGGTGGATTGGAAAAACTTAATTTTACTTATATTACTTATAAGTTAGCTAAGTCCAACTTAGGCAACTTATGTTTACAATTTAAAAGTGCTCCTTTTACAAGTATGCTAAGTCCAACTTGCAAGTTCTATATGTCCAGCAAGTTCCATAAGTTATTTGCAAGTCCCATAAGTAAAGGGCGACCACCAAGTACGCACGTGGCAACATCAAATGACGACAATCAAGCAGCCATTCCAATGCAATCAGCATCAAAAACCGCATAGAACTAAACACACAGACACAACCACTCGTTGCAAAACACATAGGAGGAACAGTTCGCGCATGAAACGACCGCAGCCGCACCCGCCGCACACACGAGGTACCTTTCATCGCCGGCTGCAGCCACTTTGCACGGAAAAACACAAGGTTTTGTGCTCCGGCTTCCTCCCCAACACATAGCCCATGCAACATCATGCAGCCATTCCAATGCCTTCTACGCACACAGCTTCAAGAACTACATCACCACCCTTTCTCATCACTTCCCTTCGTCGCCACTTCCCTTCCTCACCAATTCCCATGTTCCCCAACTCCCTTTCTCACCACTCCCCTTCATCACCACTTCCCTTCGTCACCACTTCCCTTCCTCGCCACTTCCCATCTTCACCACCTCCCATCGTCACCACCTCCCATCGTCACCACCTCCCTTCGTCACCACCCTGTGTCATACCTTCTTATTCTATGTGATGTACCACCCTTCATCAAGGTCAATTCTTTTCTGATGTATTGTTATGTAATGTAAAGTCTCACACCACCCTTCATCAAGGTCAATCCTTTTGTGATGTATTGTTGTGTAATGTAATGTCTCACACCACCCTTCATCAAGGTCAATCCTTTTGTGATGTATTGTTATGTCTCACACCACCCTTCATCAAGGTCCATTCTTTTCTGATGTACTGTTATGTAATGTAAAGTCTCACACCACCCTTCATCAAGGTCAATCCTTTTGTGATGTATTGTTGTGTAATGTAATGTCTCACACCACCCTTCATCAAGGTCAATTCTTTTCTGATGTATTACATAGCAAAGTCTCACACCACCCTTCATCAAGGTCAATCCTTTTGTTATGTATTGTTATGTAATGTAATGTCTCACACCACCCTTCATCAAGGTCAATTCTTTTCTGATGTATTGTTATGTAATGTAAAGTCTCACACCACCCTTCACCAAGGTCAATCCTTTTGTTATGTATTGTTATGTAATGTATAGTCTCACACCACCCTTCATCAAGGTCAAGTCTGAGTCGCGCACCACCCTTCATCATTTCAAGTCTCAGAATTCTATTTGTCCGTAACACGGAAGTATTGCTTCCCAACTTCCTTTGATCATGAATAACTAATACATAATTGTTGATAATTCATCATGATAATTGTGAATTCCCAATGGGCTATCATGATTCATCTTATCATTCCTGATGAATAAGACCTAATGTCATCATGAAGTAGTTAAACAGTTAACACTAAGAAACACATAATTCATCTAAATGGTTCATACTAATGGTGGTTGTATGTTTAATAACTGATTTTAATCTGACTAATAATAACTAATGTAACTAATTCATCTTCATTCATCCCGTCCAATAATACCCTCTGGTAAACGAACATAACTATGGAAAACCACCATTTTTCATGGCTAGATAAACTATTTCTATGGAGATTTTCAATAGCAAACTGTAAACGTTTTACCAGAGGGTAACCACCAATAACCTATGATTCACCACTACTAACCATCACTATTAATTAACCATTAACTAACCATCATTATTCACCACTATTAACCACCAATAACACTGTAAACGTTTACGAGTGGGTAACCACCAATAACCACCACTATTACTTATCATCAACCACCATTATTAATAATAATCATTATTGGCCACTATTAACCACCAATAACCCATGTTTCATGGTTAACGAGTTAAACCCACAATTTTTATGATCAAATCCCCGGTGCAATCACCATTCTTCATGGTTAAACCCACCACAAAAAGGAGGGTAGATCAATCCATTGTTTTCCTCTGCTAAATTAGCTAATCAACTATTTCTATGGCCATGTTCCTATGATTCACCACTACCATTCTTCATGGTTAAACCCACCATTTTCAACGAGGGAAACTGATGCCCTCCACATCTTCGATTTAAGCGACCTGTGATGCCCTCCATGAGCGCTGTGGCCGAGTCCCGCTTCTTGGCCAGGTCGGAACCGCGAGCCTGGCTCCACCAGGAAAGCTACCCCGCAAAAACATCCAAAAATGAGGGGAAATCATTGGGAAATCATTCGGAGATCATTGGGAAATCATTGGGAAATCATTGGGAGATCATTGGGAAATCATTGGAATAATCATTGGGAAATCATTGGGAGATCATTGGGAAATCATTGGGAAATCATTGGGAGATCATTGGGAAATCATTGGGATAATCATTGGGAAATCATTGGGAAATCATTGGGATAATCATTGAGAAATCATTGGGAAATCATTGGGAAATCATTGGGAAATCATTGGGAGATCATTGGGAAATCATTGGGAAATCATTGGGAGATCATTGGGAAATCATTGGGATAATCATTGGGAAATCATTGGGAAATCATTGGGAAATCATTGGGAAATCATTGGGAGATCATTGGGAAATCATTGGGATAATCATGGGGAAATCATTGGGAAATCATTGGGATAATCAGTGAGAAATCATTGGGAAATCATTGGGAAATCATTGGGAAATCATTGGGAAATCATTGGGAAATCATTGGGAAATCATTGGATAATCATTGGGAAATCATTGGGAGGGAAATCATTGGGAAATCATTGGGAAATCATGGGAAAATCATTGGGAATCATTGGGAAATCATTGGGAAATCATTGGGAAATCATGGGATAATCATTGGGAAATCATTGGGAAATCATTGGGAAATCATGGGATAATCATTGGGAAATCATTGGGAAATCATTGGGAAATCATTGGGAAATCATCGGGATAACCATTGGGAAATCATTGGGAAATCATTGGGATAATCATTGGGAAATCATTGGGAAATCATTGGGAAATCATTGGGAAATCATTGGGAGATCATTGGGAAATCATTGGGAGATCATTGGGAAATCATTGGGATCATCATTGGGAAATCATTGGGAAATCATTGGGATAATCATTGAGAAATCATTGGGAAATCATTAGGAAATCATTGGGAAATCATTGGGATAATCATTGGGATAATCATTGGGAAATCATTGGGAAATCATTGGGATAATCATTGGGAAATCATTGGGAAATCATTGGGAAATCATTGGAAAATCATTGGGAAATCATTGGGGGGATAATCATTGGGAAATCATGGGGAAATCATTGGGAAATCATGGGGAAATCATTGGGAAATCATTGGGAAATCATTGGGAAATCATTGGGATAATCATTGGGAAATCATTGGGAAATCATTGGGAAATCATTGGGAAATCATTGGGATAATCATTGGGAAATCATTGGGAAATCATTGGGATAATCATTGGGAAATCATTGGGAAATCATTGGGAAATCATTGGGAAATCATTGGGAGATCATTGGGAAATCATTGGGAAATCATTGGGATAATCATGGGGAAATCATTGGGAAATCATGGGGAAATCATTGGGAAATCATGGGGAAATCATGGGGAAATCATTGGGAAATCATTGGGAGATCATTGGGAAATCATTGGGAAATCATTGGGATACTCATTGGGAAATCATGGGGAAATCATTGGGAAATCATTGGGATAATCTATATGGTGAGTCTAGGGTTCTCTGAGTCTACGGCCTGGTCTAATAAGCCTCATTATTCCGATGACTTGACTATACCACACTTGGAAATATGACTATGATATGGTTATCCTCTGGTAAACGTTTACAGTTTGCTATTGAACATGGCCATAGAAAAAGGTGATTTACCCAAAAAACATGGTGATGTTCAATAGTTATGTAGTTTACCAGAGGGTATCATGGGAAAAAAACACTGGCCAGCTGATGGAAGTTAAAAAATGGATGTATCTTCCGTAACATGGTATCTATTGATATCTTCAATTTATGGAATATCACAATGTTTAAATGTATATGTTTTAATGGACATATATAGTTGATCAATTACCTGGGATAAATTACGCCTGTCTATATCTTTGTTGGGGTTACTGTGATATGTAAACAATATATACATATATATATATATATGCACTATGTAATATGTAGTAATATAGTAAAATCAATATAATCCCGATGGATCCAAGCACTTCCTTAGCAATTACTTAACCCCCTAAATCCGCAAATACTTCCTAAGAAGGTACTTGGATCCATAGTGAACCATTTTTTTCACCATGATGGGATAACGATCAATAATTACCCTGCTGCAAACTTTACTCTTACCCTCTGGTTATTTAACAGTTCGCCATGTATAGATGGCCCAGAGAAATAAATGTGTTTTCATGATTTACCTGTTAAACATGGTGATTCTCCAGTTCGCTACGTAAAAAAAAAAACAGAGGGTAACTCTTTTGAAAATCCCACGTCAAGACGTCGCATTTTAGGGGTCGTTACAGCTAACCTATCTGATGGGGATCTCGAATACCTTGGCGAATTACCGTGGATGAACCAGTATTGAGGCCAACAACCTGCAAGACATCTGTTATAGAAAAGAATATATATATATATATACACATATTATAATATATATATATATATATTAGCCTACATTCACCAGAACTCACCAGAACTCACCAGTTGATAAAAACAAGTCCAGGCACCACATTGGCGGGCATGATGAGCGAACCGATCATGGCCAGGAGCCCTGTGAGCGTGAACAGCACCATCCACATCAGCAGGATCCTGCAGGAAACGCTGGGGTGAAATAAACCAAAAATCAAAAAGGCCCCACTAATAGTAGGTTATGTGTATACATATCTATATCTATACATAAGATTTTATACACATTGATACATCTGTATATATATATATACTATATAATATATATATAATATAAAATAAATATAATATATATATATATATTATGTATTAATTATTTGGGTTATCCAAGCAGTTATCTAGCCAAATTCAGGTTTCTTCACTGAGGATCCCCGTGTCTACTAGCTAAAGGCCCATGTTTGCTGGTTGCAGATTGTCCCTTCAATCAAGTAACCGAATCGTTAAAGCAATAACCCATGGCTTATATAAGGGTTATAAACTACTAACTTTGCACTACTTGTTACACAGCGGTGCCCGCTAGGTAGCTAAGTTGGTTGATAAACCCGTGAATTCTCCTAGTCATAAACCAACTGAGCTGTCGTGTGGTAGCACCGCCTTGAAATATATACCATCCCATTTTGTCCCCGTTACAATTCCGTAAAATTGTTTGTGTATCCGTTTGTTGTTGATGAAGTCCATGTTTTTATCATTTTTGATGATTAACCCCCCATTAGATTCCATTATATAACTATGAAAAAAAACAAATCACACAAAAAAACATCATTAAATTCAAAATTGTTGCGTTTCCACAGGATGGTGCCCCCCAGTCATAAGTTGGTTTATAACCCCATCTAAATATGTATTTGCGTATAATACGCTATTGTTATAGTTATAAACCAACTTAGCTAACGAACTGGGGCCCTTGCTGCAAGATGCATGGAGAAAACAATCACTCCCTCCTCGACACTGGCATCTTTTGCCCCCGCAACAGGCTGCTACCACTGAAAGCTTCCGGAAAGTTGGCAATAAAAATTGCCACCAGAAAGCCTCGGTGGAAAAGTCTTGTCCTGTAGATAGATAGTGATGGATATAATACATATATATATACACATGTAAACCCCGGTTGTACTACACAGGAGGGGTAGTTCCCTGAATTTAACCAGCTAAATTTCTATGAGGGCGAGGTTCTATGTGTATATATATATAATACAGTTCTATTCGGGGATGATTCCCGTTACTGGGAACGACCGACCAGCAAGATGGAGGGAATCATTCCGTCCGGGACATAGATAGAATCACAGTACACTGAGATTAACATAACATAATATCACCAAGAAATATGAATTTGATCATGTCTGTCTGAAAGGTGTATCTGAAAATAGTCCGGCGCGTCTTGTCTTGTCTTATCAGTGTAGATTTAACCCAGACAAATGCCGAAAACAGTGGATGTGAGACGACTTATCTATGCAAAATATGGGGGTTGAACCATGAAGGATGAAGATTTCTCCAACCTAGGAACAATGGAGAGGGTTTATTTCCATGGCGGGCATGGATGCGGTTCTTTCTTTGTGCCATTGTATTGGGATCCCCACCTTTCTAGTCTTATTGCAGTTTTTTCTGTGCTGATATAAATTCAATATGTCATAGTCATGCAATCATATAATGAGATACTGGTTGGTGGTTTCAACCCCTCTGAAAAATATTAGTCAGTTGGGAGTATTATTCCCAATATATGGGAAAAAAACAGTTTCAAACCACCAGCCAGGATAGGGCATCAAATGGATGGTAGTCCTATTCAATTGATCCCAATGTTGTGAATCCTACCACCAATTTTGGATGTTTTTTTGACCAGGCCTCTGAGTTATATCCATTACACCATTGATAGCCGTCATTAACCATTCTCAACCATTATTAACCACAGAAAGGGGTGTTTATAACGTGAATAGGGGCTGGGATTGTTCATGATTGTTCCCATTCTAAACCCATTGTGGTTGGTATTCCAACTAACTTGCCATTATATTCCCATTAGATGTCTGTTGGTATATAGCCAAAGTGCTACTACTTCCCATCGCCATTATATTACTCCGTTATACTCCGTTGGTATTTTATCATAAATGTCATATAATGGCCTTATAATAGTTATATACTGATGGGGGAATTTTAAAATGGGATAGCAATAGCAATGTGATACATTACATGATACATGTTTCTGACATCCTAGTCCTATGGTATATTACATTATAATAGTAAATATGTCCAAAATATCATAAATAAAAAGTGTTACTTCCCATCATAAATATCATGTACTGGCCATAGAATAGTATTTATACTGATGGAACACAATCTCGGACAGTTGGGAATATTTATACATAGATATGATATAGTGGCAATATACTACTAATATATAGTAATATACTGATGGGAAATTATGAAATATACTAATAGTATACTGACATTCTTATATTATATACAGTATATCTGATATTCGTAAATGAACTGATACTTCACTACTGATGGGACATCTCATATTGATATTCAATATAATATACCGTATGGATCCAAGTACCATGTCAGGAAGTACTTCGGGTATGATTTGAGGGGTGAAGTATCGCCCCAGGGAGTACTTGGATCCGTAGGGTTATATTAGTATACTAAAGATTCGCTACTTTCTCTATATAGAATACTCTCTGAGGTATTTACTGGCGAACTGTTAAATAACCAGATGGTAGTATCTCTAGATATCATTCTAGTATAGTCAACTGGGTTTATTTATCTTCATAAAAATGTAATATTTATATCATTATATCTGCATCATTATATATTTATTATAAACATGTATAATTTATATATTTGATATTTATTATCTATATTTTAATATATATATATACATATATATTGGGTATATTATCTATGTTGGGTAAGTAACTATTTGATGGTTGGGAAACTCTAAGTAGCTCCTTGGCTCCCCATTGAATAGGGAATATATAGGGAATATGAATACCCCTAGCTCCTTAGCTCCCTCCTAACCACTGGATAGGTAATTTATCTTATCTATATAGGGTAATTTATAGATATATTGGGTATATTATTAATATAGATACTATAAAGATAATTTATAATAATTTAAGATAATTTATTCTACTATTAAGTATACTATATATTGGGTATATTATCTATATTCTACAGTATACTTAAGAACTTTACTCTCCGTAGACGCTACGTCTTCTGCCGTCAGGAGACTGAAGGTGACCGAGCCTTCGTTGGTCATGAAGCCGAGCCTTCGTTGGTCGAGATGGCCCGGTGATCCATGGTAAAAAAAAAACATGGAAATCTCGTAGGATTGGTAGGATATCACTGGATTTTATGGGGAATTCATATGTGGATTATATATATGTATAGTGTGTGTGTATATATATATATATATTTGGATGATTGAATGGTGGATTTGATCGGATTTAAATGATTTAATGGGATTTATATAGTGGTGATTTAACGGATTCACTATGAAAAAAGGATTTAATATGATTTAAGATAGGATGCAACGGGAATTAAATGGGAATATCATGTGGGATAATATGAATGGAATATGTGGTTACTCTCTGGTGTAATCAAACATGGCTATGTCAAATCCCCGAACTAGATGGAGGTTGATAGTTGAAACAAAAAACAATACCCTCTGGTAAACATACGAAAAACTACGGAAAATCACCGTTTTTAATGGGAGAACTCACGATTTCTAAATGGCCATTTTCAATAGCTATGTTAAACATAACCAGAGGGTAAATGGTGGATTCGCGTTTGATTACCGAAGGGTAGTAGACTTGATATACCAATTAGTCTCTGTCGCTGGTTTACAACAGCCCCCAGTTACAATCCATTCGTTACAAATCAGGTTCATTTGACAGGTGGTTTCAACCGACAAAATCAACAGTCATCATGGTTGAGCTCCACTTCCCAATAATATGTGAATGTCATTTGGGAACAGGACCGGCCAGGATGCAAACGGTGTGAAAAACACAGATGGTGTTAACTGTATGCCATACACATCCACAGACCATCTCAACTATAACTATAACCATAAATACGTGGTAACACTATTACCAACAGGAAGTTGCTTATATCTTATTTAACCACTGGGTTTATCACTCATCAATTACATTTAAAAATCATCGGTTTTGCCATTCATGGTATATCAATTAGTGGGATACCAAACTAGAGACTAACAGAAACATGAAACCACTACCCTCTGGTAAACTAACATAACTATGGAAAATCACCATTTTTCATGGGAAAAACCACTATAAATGGTGATTTTCTATAGTTATGTAAACGTTTACCAGAGGGTAACCACTAACCTCCCCTTGGATCCTTAAACAACGCCAGGGGACATGAGAGCTTCCGGAATACCATCCAGCATCATCCCCAGCCACCTCGGAGTTCCGTTGCGTCATCCAAGCGTCATCCAATTAGCTAATGGACGAAAATCTCATCCGATTGTTGTAAAAGGACGACGTTAGCATAGGGCAACTGTGGCAACTGTGGCAACTGTGTATGTAATCCTAGCGTAATTCATTCAATTGCCCTATGGTTGGTTCCGCTTGCGCGTCTATTTTGCATCAGCCAATACTACAAGAATTGGATGTCGTGGGATTACAGTTGGCCATCCCGGAATATCCCAGATCTCCCATTTTTTGTGGGTCGAATCCCCATGTGCCATGTCTCCAAATCCCATTTGTTCCATGATTTTCCGTGGTAAATTCATGTCAATGTCGCATCTTCAACCCCAAGAAAAACATGCAGGTTTTACCGCAACATGGCGAATCGTCGATACAACGCCATTTTTTTCAGCTTCTTGGGCGACTGTATCCCTATCAAGATAGAACACCGTTAAATTGGATTCAGGTACAGGATTTTGTTGGGAGTCTATGCCGCTTTCTAATGGTTAAATCATCCTTTTGGATGTAGTAAAACTATATTATCCATCCAGTCGGCCAGTGAGTTTACCCAGTCATATCGTTCTGGTCATATCCCTACTTTTGTTGATTCTTGTTGGTCACCATCTGCATTTTCCATGGTTTCTACACAAATCTATCTGGAAAAATAACCATGACATCCATCTATTTGTTCTGGTTAAAACCCTTCGGACCTCCATTTTTTGATATGGTTGGTAGCCGAACCCCCCACCTCGCTGGTGAAAACCAGGAATCAAACAGGCCAATGGGCAATTACCCAACTTAGATCATTTTCCCATCTATATACATGTTTTTAAAGCATTCTAAATTGCCATGTACTTGGATTTTGCTCAGGGAACACACAAACAAATGCGGAATTCCCTTTTCTGATTCCCCAAGGAACGTGGGATTTCCCATTGGGCAAAAAACAAATCATCGACTTAGCAAATCTATAGGGTTCTATGCCCCATGAAACATCATGAATTTTAATGGGACATATTAATGTTATGGTTTAATGATGTTTAATCATGTTTATTAATGTCCATTTAATATGGTTTATATAGATGGTTCTCCCAGTAAACATCATTAAACCAGATTAAACCTCCGTATTAGGTCCTTTGTAGATGAAACAATATTAAACATAATTAAACCATATTAAACCTCCCTATATTGGGAGCTATTTGGTTCACAAAAACGGTGTATGTTTTCGCCACCTCTGATACCACCGGACAAACCAAGCGGCATGGACAGCGCCACCTGTGCCGATCCCATGCTGGTCGCTTCCTCCTCCTCTTCCAACAAAGTTGAGGCGCGCCTGGCAGCCGGTGACTGCCCAAGGTGGAGGAAACTCCGGTTTGTCATGGGGTACCCTCTGGTAAACGTTTACAAAACTATGGAAAGATCCACCATTTTTGATGGGTAAATCAACAATTTCGATTGCCATTTTCAATAGCAAACTGTATGTTTACCAGAGGGTAAGACCCCAAAAAAATCATCCTCTGGTTCGTGATTCTTATTATTGTCACAAATTGGGAACAACCAGTGGTTTGGGGTAGCCATAGTTTAGGGAACCCCAAGTTTTTTCTGCTATTGACTCATATCCTTCTGGGAAATTTATCACGAAAAGTATTAGTCAAAGTGACTTAAGACCATAAAGTGTGAGTGGGCGAAAACCCCCCAATGACCGGTCAATTTGGTTCATTCCCTGCTGATTGTTTGATGTTGGGGATTGCCAAAACGGATCGTGAGAATATCCAATCATCCCAAAGATAAAACCCGGACCATCAGGTGTGGAGTCGACAAAAGCAATGCTGGTGGTACCCTCTGGTAAACAAACATAAATATGGAAAATCACAATTTTTAATGGGTAAATCAACTATTTCTATGGCCATTTTCAATAGCTATGTTAAATCACTGGAGGGTATATTCTATCAATCACCACTATTAACCAGTATTAACCATAATAAGCCATGATTAAACCATTATTCACCACTATCAATCAGCTGAGGGTAAATCTCCTCAAGTTCCAGGGTTTTTTTCATGTTTTTTTAGCATCAACCACCAGGAGTCCCGTAGCCGTGGCCTCAAACTCAACGTCATGGAACCTGGATTATCAACGGGAACGGGATACACATGGGAAACTATAATCACTGACTGGGTGTAAAGAAACTGCCAGATGACTATCTTGACCATCCAAATTCTTGGAGTTTCTCATACAGGATGGTGCCCCCCCAGTTATAAGTCGGTTTATAAACCCCATTAACTAGTTCGTTATATCTGCCATAAACCATAGTGACATGGGACTTATAAACAAACTTAGCTAACTATGGGGCACCACCTTGTACAAGTGTGACCTAAACCAATTGCAGGATTGGTGTTTCCAAGCGATCCCTTAAAAGAATGGTCATTTAAGGGTTGACTATGTTTGACTACTGGAAAATCACCATGTTTAATGGGAAAACTCACTATTTCTATGGCCATTTTCAATAGCAAACTGTTAATCATCACCAGAGGGTAATCTGAATATATCTGAATCATCGGGAAGTAAATGCCACAAAGATCCACAAAGTAAATACACGCAACGTGGCATTGTTTAACATCATAGACCTCGTTGGTGGTTGAGCCTACCCCTCTGAAAAAATATGAGTTCGTCAGTTGGGGTTACTATTCCCATTTTTTGTGGAAAAAAAAGTCATGTTCCAAACCACCAACCAGAGATTGTCATGCATCCACTACGTATGCCATACGAGTTTTCTATAAGTTCTGTCCATCAGAGCCAACCAATTCGTATGATCCCGTTGAGTATGACTCCATTCACAAACCACCAAATTAGTTCTGTCATCACTTTACACTGGTTGATAGGTAGTATAGTCCCAAACGATTGAACTCATCAAATACCCAACTTTTACTCAGTGATATCCCAATGCTTGATTGTTTGAAACCAATATGTATTGCTTCACTGTATCTGTTCTTAAAACACTCTATCGTGATCCATGAACATCGGTTTATAGTCCATGCAGTCTTCCCGCATTCTTCTGTCATGCAATCATTTGCCAATTGACGTATCCATTGTCAATGAACAATGCACGTATTCATGCAAATTAGTTGGATAATTAGTAATGAATAATGGTACAATTATGAATAAATGATAACAGTCAAAATCCATCCAACTAGTATCCAATGTATTCCAACATTATTTATCTGGCTATTCATATTAATTTCTCGGATTCGATTGAAACACTAAACAAAACACTATATAGATGCCCGTGTGTGGTGGACTGATAAACGGGAACAACCAAGAAACAACTTGCTCTGGCTGTTTCAAACCCAGGATGATGGCTAAATCAATTGTTGACCTCTTCAATTATTATCTTATTATTCGTTGTCAAATCCAGTTGTCAACAATAGATATTAGAACTGTACAAATGATAAAAGTTCACTAAGCTAACCTGGTTGGTGGTATACCTACCCCTCTGAACAATATGAAAGTCAGTTGGGATGATTATTCCCAATATATCGAACAATAAAAATTCATGTTCCAAACCACCAATCAGTGATAGATGACTTTCCCAGCTATAAACCTTCACAGGGGATTTCCCATGGCCATGTTGAAATGCCATGGTGAAAAACCAATAACAGGCTTGGCCCTTTAGCTATAGTCTAGTTACTACTGACCATCATTCCAGTGACGTCGCAGTGAAGTCATGACCATGATCAAAGTTATCCAAAAATCGGTACCCTCTGGTAATTTAACATACAACAAGGTGATTGATAGTGGTTCATACTGGTTTAATCATGGCTTATTATGGTTAATACTGGTTAATAATGGTGATTGATAGAATATGCCCTCCAGTAATTTAACATAGCTATTGAAAATGGTCAATTTATAGTGGATTTACCAATTGAAAATGGTGATTTTCCATAGTTTTGTTAGTTTACCAGAGGGTACTTACTATATTCTATCCCCATAAACAAACACCGGTTTTCATCGTTGGAATCGTGTTTTTAAATGTTGCGTCACCAAGCATTCCCATGTTGATCCATATTGACAGCACACTATTCACACCAACCATTAATCAAAGTATTACTCTGCAGCATTTTGTCAGGTGTTATCCATGACCATTATTCGTGTTGCATGAAATATAAACCACATCGAACCACCATATGTTTCTGCTTAAACCAAGTAAACAAATATTGTCCATGCCAAAGTGGTCTTTTACATCCAGAACCCCCATCGTAGATTATTCATTGTCCATTAGATTGTCATTGATCATTTATCATCCCATTAGCCATTGCCCAAGTGTCAAAAATCCATGTATAGTAACTATCAGATAAGCCATGAAACAACTTGTAAAGCTCTAGATTTTAACACAGTTATTAACAGTTACCCTCTGGTTATTTAACATAGTCATGGAAAATCACCATTTTTAAAAGGTAAACCATCTATTTCTATGGGCCATCTATACCATGGCTATGTTAAATAACCAGAGGGTAAGTCTCAAGTTTACAAACATTGAAAATGGCCATAGAAATAGTTGATTTACCCATCAAAAATGGTGGATCTTTCCATAGTTTTGTAAACGTTTACCAGAGGGTATACATGCCTTATCCCAGTACTAACCCCTTCCAGTGCCCTCCTGTCTCGTCAATCCCTTCGCTTTTCCATGGCTATGTTAAATAACCAGAGGGTAGAATCACAACCATTCTACCCATATTCATTTGAACAGTGTTCAACACCCTCTATCGTCCCTTTATCCTGGCCGGCGTTCCATGGATTCCCAAATTTCCGGAGTGTGACAACACGGATATTTTTATTGGATAGTATAACTTACAGTTTGTGACTCCATATTCATCATCAACACTTTTGCTGTTCATGGTTGTTTTCCATTTAGCCTCTGGTAAACATACAAAAAACTATGGAAAATCACCATGTTTAATGGATAAATCCACTATTTCGACTGGGTCATTTTCCATAGCTTTTTGTATGTTTACCAGAGGGTATAACAACAAAGCTAAAGGATGAAACATGATGAACCTATCCATCCAGTTTGTTTTTTGGACGTCGCCCAGCAACCGGTTCCCATCGCAGGCATGAAATTCGAGACCCCTGCGCTGGCGACACCAAGACCGCCCAATTCCATACTGCCTCATGCGCAAGGTCATGGCCAATCAGCCAGATACCCTGCAAAACATGACCAATTCTTAACTGGTAAGTAGATACAGTAGATAATCCCATTGATACCAAAAGACTAAAGGATTGAAGTACCCATCTAAGATTGACCTAGAGGTGAGGTAGATGGTTTTTTACCGTTAAAAAGGCGGATTTCATCATGAAAAAGGCGGACAACAACAGTGGAAACAATGGATTTTACTGAAAGATGAAATCATGACATGAAACATGGTGAATATAACAATATCATGACAAGTATTGATGTAATGGGGTTTAACCAGGAAACATAAATTACCAGAACTGGAATGGGGTTTAACGATCAAACACATTGATTTTAACATGTCAAATTAGGATTTGATACTGGTTATCCAGGGAACAAAAAACATGGACCATGTTGTAAATCCAATAAACGTTAGGTAATGTCAATCTCAAACCATCATGATTAAACTATCACCATGGCACCTGTCTGTGCATCTTCGCCGATGGGGCTTAAGTGTCGGGCTTCGCCTTGTGGTCTCGAGCGGTTCTCCTGGCGAGGTGGAGATGGATTTTGAGAGGTTGGACTTCAGCAATAACATCGGTGTGTCTGGGAGATGGCTTACTGGTGCTTACTTAGCAGGGAATGAGGAAATGATCCCAGTCATCACTACAAGGTGGTGCCCCCCAGTTATAAGTTGGTTTATAAACCCCATTAACTATAGTTATATCTGCCATAAACCATAGTTATGGGACTTATAAACTAACTTAGCTAACTATGGGGCACCACCTTGTAGTAATGTCATCATCCCAGCAACCCCCAGCAAGCCATCCATTCCCTACGTAAAACGCACCAGTAAGATGGTGAATAGCCGTATAACGACGCAACGGGTAACTGATGTTCAAAGCCAGGAATCCCAACACAGACATGGCAGTGCCAGTATTACGAAAAGTAAGTTGCCATTACCCTCTTGTAAACTAACATAGCTATGGAAAACGACCATTTATAGTGGATTGTACCATTGAAAATGGTGATTTTCCATTGTTATGTTAGTTTACCAGAGTGTATTTTTAGTTGGTTTTGGGATTCCAAAATCACTTAATAAAGGCAACTTAATAATGGCAACTTACTTTTTTGGAATTCCATGATTTTTAACCTTTGCCAATTTTTTTGGGTAACCCCACGAATCACGCCAAGATGACCAAAACAAGCTACGTATTGGTCAAAGCACTGTCAAACATCCCAAATAGGGGAGGGTCCATAAATGGAGGTACCCCAATAGTTGGATGGTTTATGTGTATATATATATAATGGAAAATCCCATTCAAATGGATGATTTAGAGGCACCCAAATTTTAGGAAACCCCCATATTGGTCAGTTGGGTTCCAATATGTTTAAGATAGCATGGCCAATCTTAGATGCTTCGACACCCGAGTTGGCTGTAGGTATCCCCATGTATGGCTGCTGTATGGGATTCAGTCCATTGCTTGGAAGCTGAGACCCCTTAGGTCCCTTAGGTAGCTAAGTTGAGTTATAACATGATTAACTATCTATATTAATAAGTCTGTAGGGCTTTGGAAGGGTATCAGTTATACCATTAATGAACTCATTATGGTAACTTATAAGATTAACTTGGGCTTATAGGGTATCTGGTTGGTGGTTTCAACCCCTCTGAAAAATATGTCAAATGGGAATATTGTTCCCAATATATAGAAAAATGTAAAATGTTCCAAACCACCAACCAGGTATAAGTTCAAAATAATCTGCACAATGTGACCATCGCCACGGAACTTTGCAATATCTAGTCATCTCTTGCAATCCATGCGTGCATCGAGAAAGAACAAGGCTCCGTTTGTTTCGGCCAATGACTTTGAGTGTCATATATACAAGTAATACCTGGTTGGTGGTTTTAACCATCTTGAAACATATTAGTCAATGGAAAGGATTATCCCATATACTAGGGAAATAAAAAACATGTTTGAAACCACCAACCAGAGTAATACCTTCCGGTAATCAAACATGACATGCTGGAAAATCCCACTCATGGATGATTTTCCCATAACAGCTATATAAAACAGATGAGCAATCTCGGAAACTAAAGCTTCACGAAAAGGACATCAAATTTGGAAAGGTCCCAATCGCTTAGCACACGTTTGCAGAAAAACTATGTATGATGTATGGCAAATTTAGGTCCCGATGGCTTCAAGGAACACGGTATCGCCCTTGGACGGTCTCAGAGGACTAAACTGACGAAAGTTCTGTGGGTATCTGGCAGCATCTGGTGTCAACATACCGCCAAAAAGTCAGTTTGGTGATCTCGACCTAGAAGGGGCCAGGCTGAATGAAGTCTTTGCAATATTTTGCCATTGAAGTATGTTTGGATAGAAGACCACGCGAGAAAAAATGCCGTTTCCGCAAAGCCAATGACTTCTTCCAAAAATGGTTGAGTTTTGAGAACATAAATAGCTGGGTCCTCATATTGTGTTCACATGTGTTCACATTGTTTCATCAGCATCCATCGTGTCCAAAACCCTGTGTCCCTTCCTTTATACAGCGGCTTGGTTTATAGGGTTTCCCTACTGGGTTGCGATATTCCCCAATATATTGGGTAGTAGAATCTCCGAACTAATCATCAACCAACCATTCATCAACGATATCCCAATATGTCTGATACTTAAAAACCCGTTAGATATCCATAAATCATGGTTATCTGAAAAGTCAAGGGTCTACTCTGCACCGCACTGCTGTCATTTTCATCAGAGGTTACAGCAGTTGCAACAGCGTCACCAGCAGCAACAGGTTGAAAAACTGGGTGCTGACTTCACCCCTACCCTCTGGTAAACTAACGTAACTACGTATGGAAAATCACCATTTTTAATGGGAAAATCCACTATAAATGGCGATTTTCAATAGCTATGTTAGTTTACCAGAGGGTAATACATCGCTTCATTGAGAAACCCGAAAGCTTTCCCAGGCTCATCTCGCTGACAACGTAGGCCTTCTGTGCTGAATGATGCAATCTCGGTGGGCCTCACCTGCAAAACCAATGGATGGCCATCACGAGTTGCAGCAGTCGCGGGGAAGCAAACGAATCGTTCCATTTAAATCCACCGCCAACGGTGCCACTGTCTGGCGGGTGGTGCAAAACCTGAGGAGGGAGAAGCTCTGAAGCTTGGACTGAACAAGCAGGTTCTCTCACACATCTCCCTCATCTGTTGCTGAACGCAGAAGAACAAATGCGTGCTGGAGACACGACTTTCTCCTTGTCAACGCTGAAACTGAAAGATTCAAACAGCTCTCGCCAAAACAACTCTTCGTTTTCCCACGGAAAGAAGTAAGCACCTGCGTTCAAAACACAAATTATTCATACCAAAAATCATTAACCAACATCAACCACACGTGTGATATCATCCCCATATGCTGATACAACAAATATGTTTTAAAAAAACAAAATAAAATGACTATCATGAATCCGACCAGGCTTTAGCAGCCACTGCTCATGTGATAAACCAACATCAACCAACAATCATTTGTTATTTACATCCACTGATATATCTGGTTGGTGGTTTCAACCCCTCTGAAAAATATTAGTCAGTTGGGATGATTATTCCCAACTGAATGGGAAAATAAAAAATGTTCCAAAACACCAATCAGATATGATCTCCCCATATTTTGATGGCTAAAATCCATATGAAATGACATCCACCTGCTCCCCTGTGACCCGCGCTCCAGCCATCGGTTCAGCAACAAGTACATGGTGGCTCCGAGCATGGCGCCCGCGATCCTCAGGGATCTCAGGGTCCCGATCAATGGGACTGGGGATCTTCAGTGGAGACATGGTGATATAACTGATATGGCTACCCTCTGGTAAACATACAAAAAAAATTGAACATGACCATTTATATCAATTTATAGTAGATTTTCCCATTGAACATGGTGACTTTCCATATGTAAACGTTTACCAGAGGGTAGCTGACATAATTCGCATTAAAAACATCAGCAAGAGATGGGAACATGAATGGATATATTGAAACTTATCGAGCAATAATAGTCATAATATGTGATAAGCTATGGCGATGATGTAACAAACTATGGAGATGGGAATATGGACAGTTATCCAGGAATCATGGTGATTTAACAAGGAAAACGTGAAAACATTGCGCCATAATTACACACATGTGTATAATATATATATATGTATAACCAACATTACTGCAAAAATGTAAAAAAAACACCAGGCGTTCGTTTGGAGGTATTTCATATTGTTTATTACGAACAATCTGGGATGATTTGTTAATTTTCTCAAATCTGATTAAACCTTTTAAAAACATGTGCTTTAAGCATATAAATAACGAATAGTAAAAATCTGATTGCTGGTGTGTCAAACCGACTTCTAGATTTGTTTTTCTAGGGGTTTCAACCAAATTGAGACCCTCAAATATGGTTACCTTCGCTTCCGCATGATCTTGGTTCATCATCAATAAACCTACCATTTTTGCTGCTGAAGACCATGTTTGCATCCACCATGTTTGTCCATGACGGCTCAAGTGCTCAGACCGGGGTTGAAAAATACCATCTACAGCTGCTACTTTTGTCCCAGCGGCTGAAGGATGTTGTTCACACAGAGTTCCTTGCAGCGCTCATCACATCCAGGACTTTTGCCTCGCCGCGCAGGTCGCAGGTGACTGAAAGGTGGCCGGCCCCAAACCATGGGGTTCAATACGCTCGAAGGACTTGGATGATTTGGGGGTACCTACATTTGAAAAAGCATCCATATTCATAATATTCATATCCCTTTATGGATTGTCATAATCCACCATAAATCAGCTAGTACGAGTCCAAAGAAATTAACCCATCAGCCAGAAGATTTTAAAGGCTCAATTTGTCCTGCTTATCATCCCATTCAATCTCATGAAACATGGAGAATTTCCATCAATTATAAAAAACCCATGAACATCCGCATAGAACCAGCATCGCACCATATATTGGGAAAATACACAACCCCATTTTAATTTTATGCACTAACCATCAATGGTATAAACTATAGGGGATTATACAAAATAAACACACATCACATAGGGGTAGAAACTAACCCGGATATTGTCCATTGTATCCATTACATTGTCCATTGTATGGTACATAATGGTTATCTTTCCCTTTATTTCCCATTATTTACCATTATATTACCATGATATTACCATTATATTATCATTATATTATTACCATTATATTCCCATTACCCGGAAGATACATATATCTATCATATTTCATCATTTTCAATTTATAATTACCATCATCTTCTCTAATGCTCATTATATTCCCATAATTTATCATATATTACCATGTATGGAGGTTTCCTACGATGGGGCTACCCCATTAGCTGGATGGTTTATCATAGAAAATCACAAACATGGATGATTTAGAGGTGCCCCCATTTTAGGAAACCCCTATGTTCGCTCTTAAGATAGCAGTTTCTGGGCTAGACCCCATTTTCCCATGATATTTCTTGGATTTGCTTAAGGGGCCCCCCCCCCCCAAAAAAAAAAACACATTATAGATTCCCCAGTCATGGTGGATTTTCCATCGGGGCAATATAGCCAAATCACCTTCAACAAACCCAGGATTTCTCTATTTTTAGCAGAAACTCTTGGGCATTTTCACCCATTTTCACCCATTTTCCAATGATACCCTCTGGTAAACTAACGTAACTATGGAAAATCACCATTTTTAATGGGACAACTCACTATAAATGACAATTTTCAATAGCTATGTTAAATTACCAGAGGGTATTTCCATTGTATTCCCCGGAGATCTTGAAGATACACCACCCACTCCCGCCCAAACGGCACCGAGGACCCGCGCCTGTTGCCGGATGGATCCAGGTGGAGGCGTCCAAGCGGAAGAGGGATTCACCAAAGAGTTGCGTGGCCTCGGAAAAGCCATGGTAAAAACCCTACAGGATGGTGCCCCCCAGTTATAAGTTGGTTTATAAACCCCATCAACTATAGGTATATCTGCCACAAACCATAGTTATGGGACTTATAAACCAACTTAGCTAACTATGGGGCACCACCTTGTAGGAAAACCATGAGAAAATGGTGGAAAACCATAGCAACCCATAGGACAGTGGTGGTTTAAATGGATTTCACCAAAGAAAATGGTGCTCTTTTTAGGGGAATTGTGACTGATTTACGAAATCGCCAAGTTGGTGAACATAACTCTAATAGCTACTATGGTTTATGACACTTGCAACTATAGTATTCATGGGATTGAATAACTATGGTTATTGATACTTACAACTATAACTATAGTTCATGATACCTACATCTACAATTTAATAACTCCAATAATGGTCAATAACTATGGTTTGTGATACTTTTCAACTATACATTCATGGGCGTTGTAAGCCAACCAGCCGAACCATTCGTTTGTCAGAATGGTGCACCTCTTCACCAGCCCGAAAAAAACCAACCCGAGTCACCTTGCCGGGAGAACTCATCCAGATCAATGGCCATTCCAGGAACCGATTGATTGGAGGTACCTATTCCATATATAAGGCCTATTTTTTAGGGAATATCCCCACAAAATATGGCCAAAAATATGGTACAGTAGCTGCATAAAATGGATCCTGGAATTCCCATTGATCTTTCAGCAACTGCTTCCGAGGTGATGCACCACATCTGGATGTGGTTTAGTGACAATTGGTTTAGTGCCCATTTAAGATGTGTCCAGAATGTGGTGCACCCGCTGCACCGGGGTACTGTGTGGATTGCTGAGTACAAAGTCCAAAGAGGCCCCAGTATTGACAAATTTTACACATCATCAACAATTAGTTGAATTATATACTGGCTGCTAGCGATTAAGCCATTATTTTATTAGACTACCATTATGTTCAGTCATTCTATCATATCTAGCTAGCTATTATTGACTAGTGTTAAACCATTCGTATATGTATCATCAAGAACCGTTATCTAATAATTCAACTATGGTTAAAATGGTTGCATTAATATTTATCAAAATCAAGGTCACCATTACATCCACATGTTGTCACGAAGCATTATTAACCATGGTTCAACCATTTTAGCCATTGTTTAAATTATTAGATGATGTTTATTGATGATCATGATAATGGTGGTTAAATAAGAAACAATAATACGATGTTAAAAATGGATAAATATTAGTTCTCAATCAAATAGCTTAAACCATAGCAACATGCTTAATGGTGTAAAGTCATTAACCATTAATTGTTAGCCATTACTGAACAACATAAACATTACGAGTATTCGACCATTATGATCATTACGATATACATTTACTATGGTACTCACTGTCATCATTATCAGCAGCCATCATGACAATTTAATTATGGCTTAAATGGTTGTGTCAATACTGTATTTATCATACCAACCATTTATTCGTGATTCCGATTACTATGATCTCACCAATATTATCATTGACCGGTATAAGCCATCATTAACCATTCTTTAAGCAGTATAATAATCATCATCATCAGTATTTCAACAAACAAAGATTTCTCTAATTACCATTATTAGCGATAATTAAACATTGTGGCTGATAATTGCCTTAGTCAATCATCATTACTTGATTCAACCAATATTAAAAAATAAATAATAAGTCTTACCTGATTCAAGCATGATTATCGATTATTCAATCATGTTATCAAAAGAATAGACGATTGAACAACTATTGCTTAATATGCACTATCATGTACCAATATCACTCATTGTTCAATATCAAACATCGTCACGATTATTATTTATTATTCAACCATTTTAGCAACAGCTGAACTATGAAATGATGGTTGATGGTTGATGATGATGATGATGATGAGAATAGTTAAAACATAATCACTAATATTTAATGTCATTATTCAATAGTGGCTAATAATCAATAGTAGTGTAATATTGATATTACTAGTTTAATTATCAACAGTATTAATTAGTCATTAATGATACTATTATATATATATTACAATAAACGACACTGTTATAGCCAACAATATTATAATAATATCTTAACCACATTCTGAAAAAATAGTACTATACTAAATGTTAATATTACTATATTCAGATATTACTACTTACTATTAATATTAGGATTCATTCCAAGAACTATTAATGTGAATATTTCTACATCCAATTACGATAGTATTCAATAACTATTAATAAATATGATTAATATTACTTTTACAATTCAATTCATGTGGGGATGGGTCAAAACCCTGGTACCTAGTGAACCCCAAAATAGCTGGTAAATGGATGTTCATCCCACTAAAAATGTATCTATAGGTATTGACCCAAACCCATGTTTAAACAAATACTATTACAATTCTTGGCCACAAACTGACACCGAAGATCATTCCGCCACAGGCACCACCGCAAAGACCAACGCGCCGCCGCCAAAGGCCATCCACTGGGCTGTGACCTGCGGCGCTCCGCCGGAGCTCCGGAGCCCATGAAACACGTGGATTTTCATGGGATTCAGGGCAGCATTTAATGGGATTTAACCATGGAAATTTCATGGGATTTTTCATGGTGATTTCATGGGATCTAAGAGGGATAAAAAATACGGGAAAATAGCTGGATTTCGATGGGATTGCCTATGAAACACCTGGGAAAATAGTGGTTTTAGTGGTTTAATTCGATGTTTATAGGATTTCAGGCACCGTATTAACAATGGTATTTAATATCTAGAACGGTCCTTTCCGCCCTCGTATTAATTAATCGGTTTTAATCAGTATTTACGATCGTTATATCATCAATCAAGATGATTAGTCATTAGTAACCATCGTTATCATTATCATTATTCCTAGTCATTGGCCATTGTTAATTAACCATTATTCAACCATTATCATCAATGTTAATATCCAATCATCATTGATTAATCATTACCCACAATAGCTATCATATACAATTAATATACTATCACTATCTACCATCTGAATCCTTTTTGTTATTCAATATCTATTTGGTGGCTCATCCCACAGCTCGTAAGTGGGTTATAACCCCAGTGATTTACATGGGATAAGGAGCGGGTTAATCCACTTATAATTGGGGTGAAGTAACCCACTTATGATTCGTGGGATGAGCCACCAAGTATATCTGGGTAAATGATAATAATTCAACAACCTGAATAGTTCGGCCATGGCTGGGGATGATTTCCCACAAATTAACCATCTTAGAATCTTTACTTTTTGTTATTCAATATCTGCAAAAATGGAAGATTTGCCCCATGAAACTTCCGGGAACCTGGTGCCACTGGTGCCTTTGCCGAGACCGGTGCCAAGGCCAGGCCAAGCAAAGCGCCCAAGGGGAGCGATAGCCTGGGCGCTTGGGAATTCGCCAAAGATTATTGGTGAGACTCCTACCCTCTGGTAAATTAACATAGACCCTGGCAGTCATCGGGGTTGGAAGACTAGTTTCCATTAACAATTGGCTATTTTCAGGGTCTATGTTTATTTACCAGAGGGTAATATTTGCGATAATAACAATAGTAATGGTTGGTAATGGCTAATGTTGAGATTATTGGTTGGTTAAACCATTGAAGTTATTGTCGATGGTTCAAGGGAAAATTTACAGGAAAGCCTCATATTTCATGGGAAAATTGCTGGTTTGCGGTTAAGATTTACCCTTAAACCAATCCATTCCTAATATTTACGATACTACTAGTAATAATAATATGATCAAGTATGTATTATTCAAATTAGGTGATCATATTGAGATCAATATCATTGGTGAAATTAGGATGGCTGGCAAAGGCAAAAATAATTGTAAATGATGATTACTGATTACTGATAATCATTGATGACAATAATGAACAATGGTTGAATGATGGTAATGATGTGTAATAATGGCCAATAATGGTTGATGATATATGGCCAATCTTAGATACCCTGCAACAAAAAAATCTTTGCTGGTGAACGTAGATATCCCAAAAGACTAAAGGATTAGTTTCCACCCATCTAGTCGATTGACCCAGTAATGGTTAGCACATTCAGGAATTTCAAAATTCATCTAAATGGTTTTCATACTATTGGTTTATTATTAAGAACTGATGAACTCTCAATAATAACTAATGTAACTAAGTTATCTTCATTGACCTAGGATATTGGGGAGATAATAATTCACAGTCCAGGTGTGGTACCATTATTACGCGCAAGACACCCCCGGTTTCGCCCAACAGCACTTTCCTAGGCTTCCAAGGTTTCAGGGTTTTAGAATTAGAGTTTCAGGGTTTATCTGTTTAGGTTTGAGGGTTTTCTCTGGATTTTTTATAGTGTTTTTTGAGGTCTAGGGCTTATGGTTTAGGGTTTAAGGCTTTAGGATTTTATGGTGTTTGGGTTCAGGATGACTTGCGCAACGACACACAGGTCCCCTACCCAAGCTTTTCAGGAATGCCAGAATGACCAACATTTTACAGTTTGACGAGGTGTTTGGCCGCATTATTACATAATATTGCATAAAACTTCATTTCAAAAACGTCACATTACATAAAACATGTCGATATCAACATCAATTTCATTGGTGAGATTGTTGGTTGGTAATGGCTAAAACCATTGTACTTGATGATTCCTGAGATATAATGATTTACGATGAACTTCATAATAGTAATATATATATAATACTATGATCAATTATGTATTATCAATCAAATGAGATGATAATTGCAATACAAAAATAAATATGGCTTACACATATGATAATAATAATAAACTATAATTCTTTACATATATGGTTCTGCAGGTATGGTTGATTCCACACGTAAGTAACAAACATGTATATATATATATAGATATATATATATATATATACATACATGTGTATATATATATACATGATTACATATGTATACACATGCAAGAACTGCATACGTGCTTCTAAGCACTTACCCTCTGGTAAACGAACATAGCTATTGAAAATGGCACCTTTATAGTTGATTTAGCCATTAAAAATGCTGATTTTGAATAGTTATGTAAACGTTTACCAGAGGGTAAATGTCGTTACCGTATGACGAAACCTTCACGGCACGGGCGTTTTTTGTTTCAATCGCCAAGAAACGCAGAGAAGAGCCCGAAGAGCAAAGCTTGAAGCCACAGCGGCGTCGTCATGGCTGGGATTTTTTGGCGTTGCCACTGATTCTCCAGGGATTACTCTCTCCGCTGATTAGCTCACTGCTACTCTGCTCGGTTTATCAAGATCGATCTTCTTTTGGGGGAAGGGTAGCTAGTTAAGGCCCAAGGAGCAATAAATTGGGCTCATTGGTCTATTCATGTGGCAAAAGATGAACCCACCAACTTCTGTGCCAATCTTAGATATCCTGCAAAAAAAAACTGGTGAACGTAGATAGTCCGATTCATAGCAAAAGACGATTCAGCGGATGAGTAAAAGTACCCATCTAGTCGATTTTCACCTAGATCTGTAGATCATTTACCATGAAAATCACCATCAATCATTAGTTGCCATTAATCATCATTAATCATTATTATTCGTTATTAATCGTTAGAGGCCCCATTGGAAGCAGCGATGATCAGTGTCGATAGCTGGCTTCTATGGCTGGATGGGAGTGTCGCCGCACATAAATGTCCAGCATATAGTAATCAAAAAATGTGGAATTTTGTGGAATATCATATAGCATTTGTGGAACTTCATAATTTTGTATAGATTATATGTATATATATATATAAATGTGATAAATGATAATCTATAAGCATTTATCACGATTTTAGTGGAATTGTGTTTTTGTCTATCTTTTGGAGGGTTATTACACTGCAACGGGCAAATGCTTGGGCCAAAAGCGTCCAAAAGAATGGGATGCTGTGTGTGCCATGGTCATCACATGGTATATGGGTTGGTCATCCTACCATCGTTTGGAAATCATTATATGTTCAATACCCTCTGGTTATGTCAACAGTTTGCTATTGAAAATTGCCATAGAAATAGTGGATTTACCGAGCTATAAAATGGTGATTTTCCATAGTTATGTAAACGTTTACCAGAGGGTAGTTGTAAACTACAAAGGCGGAGATGACCATGGGACACACAAAACTCTACTCATTTCCTCTTCTCAAAGGTCATCCTGGTTTGATTCAGGCATCATACTTGGAAGTGCAGTTCCAGTTATAGGTGTATATACAATGATATACATACTTTGCATATATATATAACCATATAGTGAATCATACAATTAAGCTAAATGATATATATATATATATTCATGGACACTATACCCCCCCCCTAGACCCCCCCCCTGAAATCACAGGTTGGGAAATGAGTTGGCTGTTTGAGACTACTTTTCGCAAGGTTGGTTTAAACAAGGAGCCAAAACATCATTCGGATGTAAGATTCGATTTGTGTTTTTTTCCGGATTCTATTGCAGCTCACCGGAGCCCCCACTGAGCCCTTACTAAAGCCTTACTAAGGCCTTACTAAGGCCTTACTAAGCCACTGCTGCGTGTTTACTGAAACTCCTGAGACGTTTTTTCTTAGAGGATCCTGTTCCTCTTTTCCGCCTTCACCACTTTTCGCAAACACATGAAGTCTTACTAAGGAGTCCAGGGTACTTAGTAAGCATTCCTGACCTGGGTAAGTGGCTAGGAAGTAGATCCTAAGGTGTAAAGGCTGCTAAGGCCTTACTAAGTAGGTAGTAGCTACTTAACATATATGCTAGTAGGGGGGGGTCTAGGGGGAGGGGGGGTATAGTGTCCATGATGTATATACATAACCGTATATAACCATATATAACCATATGGTCCCGAGTCAAAATTGTGTATGGAACGTTCCGCGGTGTTCCGGACGTATGGAACGAAGGGGCTTCGTAACTGGTCTTGTTCCGGACCTTTGGGGTGTGATGAAATATAGGCTATACATAAATATATATATATATACATTATATGTAATATATGTAATATACATCTCAAGGATATGCACGTTGAAGCTACTCCTCATCTGCACGACATCCTTGTTGTACACCTGTTCAACGCAGGTTTGCCTTGCACGGCTAGCGCTCGTGCACTAGATACGACACGACCGGTAGCCAGTGTCACCCACTGGCTACCATGTGAAGCTGTCGACTCAGCTTCAGACCTGTCACGCAGGTCCCACCTCCTACTCTTAAAACTCAGAGGTCCCTATGGGGTAGATTGTGTCCCTGCATAGCAAGACTATGCAAGACTCTACCCTCCCATAACCCACGCGCAAAGGATGGCTTACGAGCAGTCTATTACATGGGTGTTCCAGGTCTGGAACGGGTATGGAACGGTATGGAACGGGGTCTGGAACGAAACGGCCCACTCCAGCACAGCACTGCCACCACGCAGCACATCTTTATCAAAATTCGCAGTTTGGAGCGAGAATAGCGCAGCACGCAATTCTTAGACTGCCAGCTGGCAGCAGCCAAGCGCATCTCTACAATCAAACACCACAGCTGTGCCACAGCCTGCAGCAACTTTAAGTGGTGCAGGCACAAACCTGCCACAGCTTGAGAGGGAGGGAGGGTTACAAGCAATCCATTCTTAGACTGCCAGCTGGCAGCAGCCAAGCACATCCCTACCATCACACAACAAAGTAGGTAGCAGCTGTAAGTGCTGCAAGCACAGACTTGCCAACACAATCACAGGGCTTGGGCATAGTAAACGTATTCTTGCATGTATGCACTCATGTATGTACGTGCGCTCATATATGTGCGTACAAATGTAAAATCAGATTGCACGTAATATATATATATATATATAATTGTATATATATATAGTAATTATATATATAATATATATATTATAACGTATGGATCAGAGGTATGGAACAGAGGTATGGAACAGATCCTTCAAGGAGGTATGGAACGGGGGTATGGAACGGGGGTATGGAACGGGTGTGGTCCCGGAGCTTGTTCCGGACCTCCTATTTTGACTTGCCCCCATATATAACCATATATAACCATATATAACCATATGTAACCATATATAACCATTATAGTTAACCATATATTGTACTATATTTTATACCAAACTTATCGGGATCTCCACAAAGCCAGCGCTTTAAGATGAATTTTAACAGAGCGTATTCAGTGTACTCACTTCCGCTTCCAAAGTCCGCAACTGGGGATATCCCATATATATATATATACACACATACACAATATGTATATATATATAATTATAGGTATACGTGTATATATATATAGGGTATACAAGGCATCCAAGTCATCACTTCCAGCGTTCATCTCATCCAGCGTTCCCGTCAGTTCTCGTCAGTTCTCCAGGCTCCCCACGCAGCGGGGGCGATCACACCAGTGAAGCCCGCTTGGCAGGTGCAGCCTTGTACCACATCAGCGCCTGCCAGGGATGAAGCGCCTGACTTGCTCGGTTCCACCCAGCAGAAACTCACGCCACGAAACCATATGGGAAAATGCTGATTGAACCAAGAAACAAAAGGAAATTGATGGAATTTATGGCTGATGTATGAGAGCCAAGTTGGTGGGTCATAACTCCAAAAACTACGGTTTATGATACTTCTAACTATAGTATTAATGAGGGTTCTGAACAAACATAACTGGGGCCCCCATTTTGTACGGACCAACTGTTGGTGGTTGAATCTCCAATTCCCCCAATCTTGTTGATAGTATTGGATCCATAAAATGTGTCTTTGTTAGTATCACCCTCCATATGTAGTTATTTTCCAGGAGAATCATCAATTCTCCATATCTCAAAGCATGTGGACATTTATTGCAAATCTACGCACCGTGGGCGCAGAATCTCACCGTCGTACCATCTGGTTATGACATTGAAAGATCTACCATGCTATTAATAGGTGAACCATCTATTTGTATGGGCCATCTATACCATGGCTATGTTAGTCATAACCAGAGGGTAAATGGTTGTATCAATACTGTATTTATTCATACCAACCATTTATTAATGATTCCGATCACGTAATGATCTCACCAATATTATCATTGACCATAACCAGAGGGTAAAACCAATAAACACAATGTTAATAAGCCCCTAGAAGGATCCACAAGAGAACATTTAAACTGGGGACAGTTGATTGCTGTGCCAACATTGCGCAAGAAAGACTGAGGATAAGACATGGATAAATGATGATAAATGATCATTTTGGTGCATAGAAATATAGAAATGCTGCTGTTCATGGAATCTTCCAAGCAACAACTACTGTCAACCCTGGATTAATAAACCCCTAGGCCCTAGGCTGTTTAATTGGGAAGCTACCATAAAAAAGTATTGGATGAAATGACTATTGGAGGAGTACCCCCTAATAAACCATGGTTTAGTCTCATCCGGGGTTGACATTACCCACTTTCGAAAGGGCTCAAGGACTCCACCGTCTCCACCATCGCCTGTGGAATGTGCAGGGCACTCCACCGCAGTGCAGCTGGTGGTGTAAAACGGTGCAGCTGTGCTGGCGGTGACGCTGCCGATGAAACCATCCTTGCCTTGGTGAAGTGTGAATGTCACGGGGATTTTGGAATTTTCAGTGGACCGAAGTCATCAAATGAGGGTTTCCTGAAATGGGGGCTACCCCCAAATCATCCATTGATAGATGGATTTTCCATTTTGGGATAAATGCTGGGCAGCACATGGATTATATTGGATTCTTAAAACATATTAAAGCCATTGGAAAATACTGGAAAATCACTCAAACCTCTTTGGGGAACTGCCAGTTCATAGATACCCACTTTTAGTGTACAATGGGTAGTCGGGTAGTATAGCAACCCTATAATCACCAACTGAGGCTGAGGGTGAAACCAATGTCGTGTGGTTGCAGGGGTGAAACAAACAAAGTCGCAGCTGAAAACGTCTGAAGATATGAAGAATATCGAAAAATCCAACGAGACAAAGGAAACAGAAACCAGTGAGAAAAAAATCACCTGGGATGTGTGCAGTTTCCAGTTTCAGACAAGGTGGTGCCCCCTAGATAGCGTTCAGTTGGTGAACATAACTCCAATTTCACTATGGTTTAAAGGTGATATATCTATAGTTTTCATGGGATTATAAACCATTTATGGTATTATTATAGTGATTATAACCCATCTATAACCCATTTATAACCCATTAATGGTGATATATCTATAGTTAATGAGATTACAAACAAACTTATAACTTGGGGGGCACCACCTTGCAGGTTTGACAGCAGCATTGAAAAATCCGCATCTTCCAGGTACTTCTGCCTGCGTCTCCTCGAATCATTCTCCCCTTGAACCGTAAAAGACACAACATGACGTGCCACATGTCGTTGCTGAAATATGCCAAAATGGAAAAATGGAGGCTTCCGTTTCGTCATGGGGGTACCTCCAGTCATCATCCATTTTAAATCATGTTTGTTTCGGATTTTCCATGATATATCAACCATCCAGCGAGCGATAATTTCGGGGTACCCCATGACATGGGAGAAATCGACAGAAATACTGGTTGGTGGTATACCTACCCCTCTGAAAAATGTTAGTCAGTTGAGATGTTCCATTCCCAAGTGTTTCTGGAAAGTCATGTCATCCAGTCATGTTCCAGTCACCAATCAGAATATGTCGCAAGATCTGTCCCTCTGAGAACAGACGCGCAACTTGGTCTCCAATGGATCCCCCCAACAACATCCATTCCAAGGGGATTACCCTCTGGTTATGTCAAAATAGCTATTGAAAATGGCCATTTCGTGAGTTTTCCCATCGAACATGGTGATTTTCCATTGAAATAGTGAGTTTTCCCAGTACAAATGGTGATGTTCCATAGTTTGTTGTATGTTTACCAGAGGGTATCATCATATTCTCTATTAAAAATGCCAGTGTTTAGGGTGAATATGAGTGAATCCACCATTCTTGGACGAATCCAAAAAAAACATAGTTATGACTGAATCGGCATGTTTGACTGGTAAAATCCGCATGATCAGTCATTGAAAATCATGGCAAAGTAAATCCCACTAAATCAATGGGAATTTCAGGATCCTAAAATGTAGGTACTGTACCATATAAGGCCATATTTTGTGGGGATATTATGATATTACCTTACGTTACATAGGCCTTATATAGGCCTTATATATGGTAGGTACCTCCAATTTAGGTTCCTGAAATGGCCATTGACTAAAAGAACAGTAAATCCCGATCAAATCCTATTAAATCCACCATTAAAGTCCCCTCAAATCATAGCAAATCCCTCATGTTTGACCCCGTTAATGCCAAGTTGCAAGTACATCCGCTTGGCACATCAACTCCCTTGGCATTCTTGGGGCATGCGACCTCTGCAGGTGACAAACCACAATGTGAGGCCCCCAAGATATAAGTTGGTTTATAAGCCCTAGTAACTATACGCGCAAACACCCCGATTCGCCCACACCCCTTCTATGCTGTACACTTGGGGATATCAAACGTTAGACTTTACATTCAATTGGGAAGATCAACAAGGGTATTTAGGGAATATAAATTTCCCAACCCCGTTAAACTTCTACATTCATTGAAGATCTTCAACAAGGTTTTTTTGATGATGATGATGATGATGATGATGATGTGTAAGAGACTCGCACAGGTCCGTATGATCCGTATGCTGTGCGTGCCGATATACAACATGAAGTTAGCCATGATGCAAAAAACTCACATTTTTACCACGTTTTCAGCACATACGAAGATGGCCGCCGACAAGCGCGGGCAAATCGAGGTGTTTGCCCGTAACTATCGTTATAAATACCATAAACCATAGTTATTGGAGTTATAAACCAACTTAGCTATCTTGGGGGCCTCACATTGCAAGATGTTCAGGTCTTTCGAAAGAAGTCCGACAAAGATGCTGGCAAGGTCCGACTTCCAGCAGAGCGCTGTGCCATGCTGTGCCCACAAATCTGTCTAGGGGTACACCCCAAAGGAATGGAACAGTAGGACCAACCTACCTGTTGTGCATCTGCAAGCCTCATAGTGTAGATATCTTTATGGTATGTCATATTGAATTTATCCTTATGTATGTCATACTCACCTGCATATACTCTCATGTGGAAATATTTGTGCATATATATATATATAATTTTATATACACAGATGTTCTTACCGCAACCTTTTTTTTTCTGCTGGGTCCCTTTCCAATTAAGCAATGAAACATACAGTGTTCCATGCCATGATACTGGATGCTCTATAATGGTATTTCTTTATCGGTAAATTTACCGTAGATTCCTACACCAAACCAGGTGGGATTATTCCCACCATAAATTTCATTATATGTTCAATGCCTCAATCTGAGTTTGTCTAAGAATATGTAACCCCCCGCAAACCCACGATGTATCATCATTTTCCAAATACAAGTTGCCTTTTGGAAGATCCCCCATTTGAGGGAAAACCATTTCTCCTCTCCTCTGGCAATTCATTACATAACTGTAGAAGCCATGGCCCATTTGTAGATTCTTTACCTATCCAAATATCACAAAACGGTGATTGTCCAGTTCGCAAACTGTTAGTCATGACGGTAATTGATCCCAACAAGCCCAAACAATTGTTGTTACCCTTCAACCATGTAGCTATGTTCCTTTCCCGGTATCCCCAGCATTTTAGGTATCGACAAGCGGCAGCATCGCATGAACCCGTGTAGAATGGACTGGTGCCTGGAGAATTGGGATCACAACAAATTTCACCAACGAATGGTAACTACCCTCTGGTAAACATACAAAAGACTATGGAACATCACCATTTTCAATGGGTAAATCACGGTAAATCCACGATTTCTATGGGCCATGTTCCAGTTCGCGAACTGTAACAGTCATCACCAGGGGCTTACCAGAGGGGTGTCTCTGAAAATGGGCTACGGTCCATCCCCATCGGCCCTCTTCGAGACATGTGCCCCCCCAGGCAGATGTTTGTTGATTCATATAAACCATAGTCATTGCCAATCTTAGATACCTGGCAAAAAATTAAATTCTTTTCTGGTTAGTAGATAATCCCATTAATACCAAAAGACTAAAGGATTAAAGTATCCATGTAAAATTGACCTAGTAGTAAGTAGTTCGATATATCTACCATAAACCATAGTGAAATTGGAGTTATCTTCACCAACTGAACGCGATTCCGAACCGGTGCACCACCTTGTAGAGACATGAACATGATCATTCTCCGACATTGGATGACATAGGGCTACCTATGGGAAAAGATCGCCATTTGACCAACCATCACGAGGATCCAAGCTGCAATTTTTCTTGGAATGTCATGGGGATGTAGCTAACCAAAGAAATACAAAGTCTGATCCCAGGAAACCAAAAAGGCGGATATGACACCAAACAACATTGGGATTTCATTAACAAGTAATGTCAACTCCGGATGAGACTAAACCATGGTTTATGAAAATTAGGGGGTATTCCCCCAATAGTCATGATTTGATACTTTTTTATGGTACCCCCCAATGAAAAACCGCCGTTTGGGGTTTATTAATCCGGGGTTGACATTAATTACTGAGTAACGGGATGATAAACTCCATGATTTTCCATAGTTGTCTTCGACTACTGGAGTGTACTCATCTGTTTGTTTGGTTTGCATCACGCATCTCAGAAAACGATGCATTCAACTGTAATCAGCATCCGTTTGTTAAACGGAATATAACACTAAATATAGCATACATGCAACATCTTGAAACCACAATCTAGCTATCTTCAAGGTTTCACATTGCACCGCCAAACAGAGTAATAAATCCATATAAATGAATGTACGGTTGGTGGTTTCAACCCCCCGGAAAAATATTAGTCAGTTGGGATTACTATTAACTATTCCCAATGTATGGAAACAAAAAATAAATGTTCCAAACCACCAACCAGATTTAAATCACCCAAAACGGTAGTTCACATAGTTCACATTGACCATTTCTTGGTTTTGATTTCCAGGGCATGGATGGTACAAGTTCACCCCATTTTGATCCAGTGACATTCTCACCGAAGGGCGGCACTATCCAGGGAACATCCCGGTGATTCACCGTTTCAGACGAAAATCAGAGTTTTCAACAACCAACCAATGGGAAAAGCACATCTATTAACCCATTAAACACCTATATATGTCAATCATTGGGCCTTAGAAAAAAACCATTGGATTGGGATAATTAGCACTTGTTGAGAATCAACCTGGGCTATTTGAACATTAATTACCCTCTGGTAAATTAACATAGACCCTGGCAGTCATCGGGGTTGGAAGACTAGTTTCCATTAAAAATGGGTGATTTTCAGGGTCTATGTTAATTTACTTGAGGGCATTAATCCCTTCCCCCGTTCTAATCTTAAACACCCCCTTAGAAAACATGGTTTGGTAGGGAATTTCCACATTCCATTGGGACCATCCAAAAAAGGGGTGTTTAATATTAGGGTGATGGGATTATATAGAAGTCATTCCATACTAGTTGGTGGTTTCAATCCCTCTGAAAAATATTAGTCAGATTGGATCATCATCCCAGCTATTGGGGAAAATAAAAATTGTTCCAAACCACCAACCAGCATATAATATAGGAGCCATATCACAGACTCAGCTATGTTGAATCAGTCCATATAGAAATCATCGAGTCAGCATTCCTTGGCTGAATCTCTGAGATCATCCGTTGGCTCCATGATTCGTTGGCAAAAAGACCAATTGTTCATGCTTCAATCTTATGATTATTCCCAGGAATCAGTCACAGCAATGATTGCTATAGTTTACATATCACTTATACCGTCTTTTGTTGTTGACTTCCCTTTTTTATCCTGAATTACCCAGGTATACACAGTCAAAACCAAAGCTGTTCGATGCTCTTGGTGAGATCCACCAAAACGCCTTGTCTCTACCCTCGCGCTTCGCTCGTCATTCCCATTCTTCTGGTTACCATAAGTTACAACATCTGAATTGACAACATATGATATTTACAAAAAAAATAGGTACATATCATGTAAATCTCTACCTGTGATGGACAAATCCTATCATCTGATGGCTAAATCTAGTACTTGTGCCATCAAAACTCGATTGAATCCCATTAAATGCCATTCAAACCCCATTAGATGCCCCTTACCAGGGGCTATCAAACCCCAGACATCCACGTTTTGTTCCAAAGTTGCTGCTAGCTGTGATGCTGCCGCTATAGCCTGCATCGCAGCTGCATCCAGTGGCTACGTCCTGCGGCACCGTAGCCATGGAATATCAACATGTTGAATAGGTAAATAATCATGTAATGGTTACGATGAGGCTGTCGGCTGTATATAGCCCCATGTCCATTGACTATGTGATTGAAGATGAAATAATCATGTTTATCTCTTTATCATCTATTTTCATGGGCCGTTTCCGATAGCTATGTTAGATATAACCATATGTAAATATATAAAGACATATGCATATGTGCAAGATGAACAAAAACACATATCACACATGTATACTGTATACTATACATCTATAAAACATAATGAATACACTTTGAGGATTTGTAAAGCACAAAAAGGATGAGAATGGGATAGAATGGGGGTAAAAGAAACATGGGTACCGGGAATTGTGTTGTGGGCTCGTACCTTTTTGTTTTGATTCGAGCCCTCGTTTTGTGGAATATGCAAATAGGTATGAAAGAAGTAGCAAGCAGTTGTAAGGTCATGTTGAAATTTCCTCTTGAGATGGTATTGATATTGAAAAAGGGTCCAATCTGATATTATATTAAAGTTGAATTCGGTCCAATTCTCGAACATGAACACAGTAGGAGGAATATCTCCGTTCGTTCTCATGAATTTATATCCCAGTTCTACCCAGTCTATATTTTGCATGTGGATGTCCTTCAAAAAAAAGTGAATAAGTTAACGATGTAGTAATATAGACTGTACCGCATGTATTACTGAACCATGGATGCTTTGGACTAAGATCCACAGCAGGGCCCAAAGCCGCCATCAAAATGTCCACCACTTCAGCCACTGAACTAACCGTCACCACAGCCACTGATCGGCCCACCCTTCATCCTGAGCCCAGCATTTGTTTGCCTTAATGATTTCTGTAGTGGCTCTGTGCAACTGTTCCACGATTCGTCGATTTACCAACCTTCTTGTCTGAATGATGTATGAAATTCCCATTTACCATCTGCATTTAAGCAGTGTCAACTTTTATTGGAATATCACTAAAATTTAATAGCTGGTTAATTTGGATTCCCAGCTCATAGACTATGATCATTCCCAATCTATAGATGCTAGCAGTACACCCCCAAAAGAAATGAAAACCAGCACATCATTTATTAATTCAAAGTATACCCATGGCCAATCTTAGATACCCTGCAAAAAATTAAATGTTTAGCTGGTGAGTAGATAATCCCATTGATACCAAAAAACTAAAGGATTAGTTTCTACCCATCTAAGATTGACCTAGTTATTAATCTGGGTAAATTATAATAATTCACTAACCTGAATTAAACCCATTTGGGGATGATTTCCCTTACTAACCATAATTCCCAGTGAGGTCGTAGTGAGGTCGTTATAATTTACCCAGATGAATTCAAAGTATACCCTTGTAGTTTTGATAGTTTAAACCCAGAAATGATTTGGATTGAGATGCCCCACAAAACAAATGAATGACTATACCCCCTCGTTAATCAACATAGCCATGGACAATGGCCCATTTATAGATGGTCTACCTATTAAAAATGGTGATTTTCTATAGCTATGTTAAAACACCAGAGGGTATATTCCCAGGATTAACGAACCAACAGAAAAATAACAGGTAACCGTCTTAACAAACCCGGGATGATGGTTAAATCCCAACTAAAAAAATCGCGCTCAACGGGGGCGAGTTGAAGAATACGCATAAACACCCGAATCCCATGTCAAAATCCACAATAAACCAAGCAGTAAAACAGTATAACCCCGTTTAATAACCAATCAATCATCATTTATCAACTATATGTTCGTAGGTTTGATAGTTCAAACACCTATGTTTGTGATGGTAAAATCCCATTTCTCACCAATTTTGATGGTTGCCCTCTGGTAATTTAATGGACAGCTATGGAAAATCATATGTTTTAAAAGGTAAATCATCATAAATCATCTGTAAAGGTGCAATTTTCCAAACAAGCACCGTACTTAAGTCACATCAGGCGGGAAAAGTCACATCATCCCCATGGCACGGCGGCGATACGGAGAAGTCACATCAGGTAGTGGAAAGTCTTGCGCCGTCTTGCGCCGTATTGCCGTCTGCACCGTCTTGCGAGATGGTGCAGATGGTGAGCGCAGCGAAACAACCGCGCTATGCGACCGCAATGTTTCATTCCAACCAGCCAGAAACATTCCCTCTCTCTGCTGGTGTCTCCCGCCCGTACCTCCCGCCAGCGCCAAACAAGGCGACCGAGACTGCTATTTTCTTTTTCGGCAAAATGTTTGCACCAGCGGCAGCAGCAGCATGAGGAAGCAGCATGTGGAAGCAGCAGCGGCAGCAGCAGCAGCAGCAAGCAGCAAGCAGCAGCAAGCAGCAGCAAGCAGCAGCAAGCAGCAGCAAGCAGCAGCAGCAGCAAGCAGCAGCAAGCAGCAGGTGAGCAGCAGCAGGTAGGCAGCAGCAGGTAGGCAGCAGCAGGTAGGCAGCAGCAAGCAGCAGCAAGCAGCAGGCAACAGCAGGCAACAGCAGGCAACAGCAGGCAAGCAGCAGGTCAGCAGCAGCAGGTAAGCAGCAGGTAAGCAGCAAGCAGCAGGCGAGCAGCAGGTGAGCAGCAGCAGGTAGGCAGCAGCAAGCAGCAGCAAGCAGCAGCAGGCAGCAGGCAAGCAGCAGCAAGCAGCAGCAAGCAGCAGGCAAGCAGCAACCAGCGTAAAGTTTGCCCCCTTGAAAGAATAATCAAATACAAGTTTTAAAAATCAACGCAATACAAAAATTGAACTTTTTCCATGCGCACGGCCCCAAAACGAAGAAATCGTTCAATTACCAAAAGTTGTGGTGATGCCAAACTTGAACTTTTTCCAGGCGCACGGCCTCCCGATACGACTTTTACAAGCTGATACGACTTAACGCTAGCGCTTGTAGCAATGTTAAATAACGAAAGGGTAAACATCATCTTAGAACCCCAGGAAACACAATTTAAACACACCATTACACCACAATTAAATACCACTAAACAGCCATTGAACCACCATTAAACACCACTAGACACCCTTAAAACAGCACAAAACCACCATAAAACCACCATTCCACTGGTATTTTTTGATGCTCAGCTACTCCGCCCGCCCCCGCCAGTGCCACGTCAGTCCGTGCCAGTGGAATGGCTGGGGCAGGCCACAGGCGCACAGGTGCTGGTGTGGAACCTTGGTGCAAATGTGATGATGAATTATGGATATATGATATGTGTTATATATGTTTAGTTATATATATATATATAGTTATATATGAGTTATTAATATGAGTTTTGAATATATAGTTATATATGTGTTATATGATTATATATGAGGTATATATAGTTATATATGTGTTATATGATTATATATCACTTATATATAGTTATATATGAATTATATATGAGTTATCTATAGTTATATATGTGTTATATATGGTTATATATTAGAGTTATATGTTTATGGTACCTATTCATATGTTATATATATATATGGATATATGACTATCTGGTTGGTGGTATACCTACCCCTCTGAAAAATGATGGAATTCGTCAGTTGGGATGATGACATTCCCAACTGAATGGAAAAATGTTCCAAACCACCAACCAGCTATGAATATGCTATATGAGTTATATACCTGACTATATAGTGATGACTATATACGGGATGTTAAATAGTGTGGTAAATACGTCTAAACTATTACTCGTACATAGTTAATCATAAAAGTCATGGTATATCTATTATTGATGACTTTTATAGTCAGCTATATTATCTAAATTATACAAAACTATATATGGCTATAGTTATATGAATAGAACGAATCTAACACTATTAAAATAACATGTTTTATGCGTTATAGTTTGACATAACATATATACAGTATATAAATATATATATATATATAATGATGAAAATGATGATGATGATGATGATGAATGATGCGATGATAGTAGGTGTGATATATGATGTATAATGCATGATTTATAACTATAGAAGATGTGATGGTGTGATCTATATTCGATCTGTACTATAGTTATGACAAGTATAGCTATGACATAATATATATATATACATTCTGTATGTTTATATATAATATAGTTACAGTTGATTTGTAGATATTTACAGTATAGTTTCATACTCCATCTACAGTTGATTGATAGTATAGTTTATCACCTATTTAATTGTATTTCATTAATGCTGGAAACCAAAACGGGATTTCTAGTTGCTTAAATGAAAAACAATGCATAACATATCTATATATATATATATCATATTATATATATAATGCACCCCCATTACTTATTGTAGATGGAGCTATAACTTTGAGGCTTGTTGATCTCCTGCTAAGCTTGTTTGATTTTCTGTTGGTTGCGCGGTGTTTTTCCAAATAACATATTCAAAATATATTAATCAAACAACGAACTCTAAGTATATGCCTACAATCCATTTGGAAATGGATGCGATGTGGGCCCCGCAAACTAGCTAGTCTGTCGCTACTTAGTCTGTCGCTAGGCTATCTGTTGGCTTTATGGACTTCGTCAAAAGTATCATATTTCATCAACCAAAAACCATTTGATCACTGTGGATGGGCCAGCGAAATCCTGCACCACCAGGTTGGTTTTTCAAGCCTTTTTTAATAGTGGGATGGTTGAAAGCACCGTTTTCAGCTGGTGCTTCGGATTTCGCGGGCACATCCACGGTGATCACCATTAAACACCACTAAACACCATTAGATCACCATTGGATGGCCAATCCTAGATACCCTGCAAAAAATGAAATTCTTAGCTGGTAAGTAAATAATCCCATACCAAAAGACTATATATAGCGGATGAGTAAGTTTCTACCCATCCAGTCGATTGACCAAGGGTTGAAACCCTGTAAATAGTGGATGGGTCGCAACCTAGATTTGTAGATCATTTTTCATGAAAGTCACCATTAATCATTAGTTACCATTAATCATCATTAATGACTAAAAAAAACTATCAAACACTATTAATCACTATTAATCACCATTCATCACCATTAATGGTTACCATCAACCCGCTTGACTTTTCCGGCACGCGGCGGCGTCGCTTGGATGGCCAGCACGGCGCCGCTGAAGCCGCTTAGGCACTTGCAGCCGCTGGGCACCTCGCCGTGGCCCACGACGGAAAATTCAGGATGTTGAAGTAATGTAAATTGTTAAACCAATATTCGCATTACATTGCCAATCTTAGATACCTGGCAAAAAATTAAATTCTTTGCTGGTTAGTAGATAATCCCATGAATACAAAAAGACTAAAGGGTTAAAGTATCCATGTAAGATTGACCTAGATTATGGATATTAATGGATCGGAAATCGTGGGAAAATATAAATTATTATTATTCAAAAAAGAAACATAAATTGCTGAATTTGTTCATAATGGATCATAATGATATGTTGAAGTAATTCAGTAATTTATTCATAATGGTGAATTAGTGTGTAAGTAGCCTCATTATTCACCACCATTCATTCGTTAAACTCCAGTTTCAGTGCCTGTTCCCAGAATCTATTTTTCTGTCTTTGTAAAATGCACCAGATTTCCATCATTCCATCATTCTTGATAGATAAATTTCCCGATTTCACCATTTTTCACGGCGAAACTCCAATGCTGAAACCACCCCACCGGCCCATTTTTTTGGGCCGCGGCACGTTGGTACCGGAGGAGTCTTTTGGACAAGCTACGGCCTGGCAGTAGGAATCTCCAGCTTGGTGGCTCTGGAAATTTAACATAGCGAGCTGGAAGCCATGGCACATAGAAATAGTTGATTTACCGTACTTAAAAATTGTGTTTTGCCATAGCAATCTTAGGTTTCCATTAATATAAGGTGCGTTTAACCTGGTTAAAATAGTGATAAAATAATGATATGATGTTGGATACTGATTGTTTTTTGGGAATTTTCTCACAATAGAGTCCCATGACACTAATGGGTATCCTACATTAATGGTAAGTGGTTCAACTTGGTTTAACCTGGTTAAACCTGATAATTAGATTCCATTATATTCCATTAGGTATAATCGGTATCCCATTAGATTCCATTATATTCCATTTAGAAAAGGTGTGTTCAACCTGGTTAAAATAGTGATAAGATAATGATATCATGGTAATATCTCAAGGGATTTCCATTATTAGATATCCCATAATAGTAGTCAATAAATTCCAGTAAATTAACATAAATTATTATAGACCCTGCCAGATAGGGATTGGAAGATCAGTTTCCATTAACAATCAGTTATTTTCAGGGTCAACATGTTTATTTACCAGAGGGTAATATCTCATGGGATGTAATGGGAATGAGATAAGTGCGTCAAGCTGCTTTAACCTGACGAATCCTTGATTTCAACCACTCCATTCAGCCAGATCCATAGGATGCATCCCATTGCTTAATGGTTGAGATGATTATAAAATGAGGATATACTAGGATGTCATGGGATATTATATATATATGTATATACTGATAATTTCTGAGTTGTTTTTTCCATTTTTCCATGCGAAACCCTGGCTTTTGGTTTATCCTTCATCTGATTCAATGGGTTTTAGGTGGACTTAATGATGTAATGCCATGTTTGATTAACGGAGGGAAAATCATCATCTTGGGGAATCATAACCTGGTTCAACAGATTGGTGTTTAAACCAAGCTTAACCTGGTAAATGGTCAAACATGGTGGCTGTCATGGAATATCATGGGATATGTTTTGGAATGCATCTAGTCTGTTCAAGTGGCAGATGTATAATGGGATAAATTGGAATATAATGGAATATGGTGAGTGGGATGTATACCATTCCATCTCATATCCATTTCATCTTTGATGCTTCCCAGTTTTCTGCAACGTATCTGCAGTTACCAGTATTTATGGGTAAGGTCTTTGTGCCATGGTCAATTTACCATGGGTATTTGGGATGGGGTATGATCATCCCAGCTAATGGAATCCAAACATGTGCAGCTATATTCCATGCACCCTGTATGTATCGTATCTTGTAAGGATACCTACTCATCAAACATGTTGAGTTGAGCCCTGGCGTTTGGTTGTTAGTATCAATAGTAGGGAGTGTTCACAAATACCAAACAAACTTAAATACAGTACAACACAGTAACATCCCATACCACATGACTTAATCATCCTTCAACAGCCTTTATTAGAGTTGGACTATATAAATAAATAAATATATATATATATATATATATTGATCAACTGAGCCGTGATCAACTGGAGCCTTCTACTGGAATCCGGCGCAAAACAAAATCTGTTGGGATCGAGAAAACAAAGACAGCTGGTGTGGTGAGTTTCCCACCAGATAGGTCAATAACCCCCCTGGTTGGTGGTTTGGAACATGACTTCTACCCTCCGGTTATTTAACATGGCCATGGAAAATACCACATTTTTAAGTTCGGTAAACAATCTATTTCTATGGGCCATCTATACCATGGCTATGTTAAATAACCAGAGGGTACATACCAATAAACCAATAAAACAGCATGGCATATCAGAACTAATGTGGGAAAAAAACATGTCATAAACCACCCATTTGGAATGGAAACCATACCACACAATTTATGGTGATGACTGGGGGATGGTGTATTATCTGGTTGGTGGTTTTAACCATCTTGAAACATATGTAAGTGAATAGGAAGGATTATCCCATATAATGGAAAATAAAGCATGTTCCAAACGACCGACCAGCATACCTCATTTCAAATCATCACCAGCATTTCTGGCTTAACTAGGTACATGTTCAACCCCGAACCTAGGATTTGAGTTTCTTTAGATCGTTTTAACCTTCAAAATTCCCCACAAATATGTAGGATGTCCAGTAATTTCCCAAGTTCCACGGATCGGCAGATGCAATCCCAGTATTGATTGTCTATCGATTTCCCAGTATATCCCCTGATCCAATTTTTTCAGGACGAGTTCATCCATTTTCACCTTGCTGGTTGTTCAGTTTCCCCGCGAGGTGGAGTGTTGGTCCAGTGTTGGTTTATGTTCACCCCATGAATACTAGCTCGTTATTCATATCTACCAAAACACAATAGTGTTCATTCACCGTTTGTGAAGTACATCTAAATTTAACTATCATAACTTAGCTAATCAACGTCATACATTGGCTAATCAACTATCTCACCCCCATACTTCGACTGAAGTTCCCTCTGCAATTTTTGACATAGCTAACAAAAATGACACATTGATAGATGATTTATGGGTTTACCATGGTTTACCTATAAAACATGTGAAATTTCTACAATTCCCAGAGGTAAACTCCAGCATTTTTGACCCATCCCTGGTGGCCCTAACGGTTCGCCTGGCAGCTTCCCGTGAAGAAGGGCGAGGCGCTGCTGGCAGTGATACTGCCACTGAATCCTGCAGACCCAGAGGTCTGAACCACCCTGGTGGTATGATTAGGATATGTTACCACCCATGAGGGATTTGCTATGATTTGAGGGGACTTTAATGGTGGATTTAATAGGATTTGATCGGGATTGACTGTTCTTTTAGTCAATGGCCATCTCAGGAACCGATTGATTGGAGGTACCGATTCCATATATGTTTGGCCTATTGTTCAGGCCAATTTTTGAGGGAATATCCCAGCAAAATATGGCCTTATATGGTACAGTACCTCCATGTTAGGATCCTGGAATTCCCATTGAGGATATGGAGGTTTCCTAAAATGAAGGTACCCCAATAGCTGGATGGTTGATTTCATGGAAAATCCCATCTAGAAACGGATGATGACTGTACCCCCTTTTCAGGAAACCTCCATATACCTTCCAGTAAATGAACACTTCAGCCCGCCCTGGCAAATAATAGGGGAAAATTTGTCTCCACTAAAAAATGTTGTTTTCAGGGTCTATGTTAATTTACCAAACGGTAAAACGAATATAATTTATATAATCGTGATAAAACAGGGATACAACGGTGACAACCATATAATATGATAAACTGGGCAGATAATGGGGATTTAATAGGGTACAAACTCTTAAATTTGGGATACCCTCTGGTCAACAGTGTACGATGGAAAATCACCCTTTTTCAAACAAACGGAAAGTCATCAAACTGTTCATTTTACATAGCTATGTAACACATTACAGGAGGATATTCAGGTCCAAAAAGGGTAGGTCAAGAAAGAACCGTTCAAAATGGTGAAGGGACCAATGCAGTAGCAATTCTCTGGCCTTGATTGATGTTGGCGAAAAATGCTTAAAATATGCATGTAACCAGCCTAGAAACTCCTGGGGATTTAAATCCTCAGAGGAATCTAGCAGGAAACGCCAGAAAATTGGAGGCTCCCTCCAGAGGTCACTTCTTTCAGCGCTTCATAAGCTGCCAAAATAAAACATACCATCAACAGAGGAATAAAGGACACGCATGATAACTATAATACACTGAAATGATATCATATGTAGAAACAACTATAAAGCAACATGATCAAGATATCAATTTCAATAATGATAAAACCTATATTCATCATGTTGATAAATATGATACGACCAAGATCGTAACTATATATAAATGTGATATGATCATCAAAACTATACATGACAATAACTACAATTATAGTAACAACAATGGTAACTATAATAATGATATTTGCTACAATCAATGACACTGATACTATTAACATCAAATTACCCATTAACAGTGTTATCATTATAGAAATTATCCATGAATATAGAGGTTATTGGCATTGGTATATAAGAATGTGGGCAATCCAATAGATGGTGTATCGAACCCCTTTATGGTGATTTATAGGGATGGTAAATTGTTGGGTTTACCACATTAACTTAACGGATTAAAATGATCATCACCGGCATCCCTATCCCCCTTCCAGGAGCTGAGGCTCTGCATTTGGTGGCGCCCCAGCCTCATCACGAGGCACGGGCGCCGCAGGCTGTCAAGCATGATCCAACTGCGAGTGTGCCTGGCCACAACCATGCCTCATGCAGAGGTGCCAACCTTTCGAGCACCTTTGGCCCGGAGCTGCAATGTACCACTCCTCACATTAATGTTCTTGCTAAAGTCACCAGCAAAGACTTTTTTCCATTTTTCCAGCAGTCTCATCTCAGGACCAAGGAAGTCAAACATTCCCGGCATAGGCGATTCCAGCCCACATAGGCCATCTTAGTCAGATTTCACCTGCGCAGAGAAAGCACATGATTGCTACATGGACCAGAAGGAGGAATCAGTTGAAGCCCAACACTCTAAAGCCTTACAATCATGGAAAGCACTTCCAGGAGTCATCCTGCAACCAAAACCAATTGGCCATATGTATACATATATATGTAACATATATATATATATGTATTAATTATGATGATAACTAAAAATATGAATGATGATGATGATGATGATGATCATCACCATCATCATCATCATCTTAAAAAAAATCTATAGCATGTACCAGTAGTACCGCACAAGGCGGTGGCGGAAGTTTCAAAAAAAGGAAACCTATAGGAGAGGTTGGTTGTTGTGAATCAGGGATGGCAGAGCCAAGCCACTGATGGACCGAAAGGTGCTTGAGGTCTCCTCTCTTTCTCTCTCTGTCTCTGACGATCTATCTATGTATCTATGTATCTATGTATCTATGTATCTATCTATGCATCTATCTATCTATCTATGTATCTATGTATCTATCTATGCATCTATCTATCTATCTACCTATCTATCTATCTGTCTATCTATCTATCTATCTATGTATCTACCTATCTATCTATCTGTCTATCTATCTATCTATCTTTCGATCTATCTATCTCTCTCTCTCTTTCATCTAATTACCTATCTATCTATCTATCTATTTATCTATCTATCTATCTATCTATCTATCTCTCTCTCTCTCTCTTTCTTTCATCTGTCTATCTGTCTAGCTGTCTATCTGTCTATCTATCCATCTATCTATCTATCTGTCTATCTGTCTACCTGTCTATCTATCTATCTATTTATCTATCTATCTTTCTATCTATCTGTCTATCTATCTATCTACCTATCTATCTATCTGTCTATCTATCTTTCTATCTATGTATCGACCTATCTATCTATCTATCGATCTATCTATCTATCTCTCTCTCTCTTTCATCTAATTACCTATCTATCTATCTATTTATCTATATATCTGTCTGTCTGTCTATCTGTCTAGCCATCTATCTGTCTATCTCATCTACCCAGCTGGCCTCTCTCTCTCTCTCTTTCATCTAATTACCTTTCTATCTATCTATCTACCTACCTATCTATCTATCTCTCCCTTTCATCTGTCTATCTGTCTAGCTGTCTACCTGTCTATCTGTGTTGCAGTGTCATTCAGTGTAATGTAGTGTGGTGTAGTGTAATTTAGTGTAGTGGAGTGTACTGGAGCGTAGTGTAGTGTAATGTAGTGTACTGGAGTGTAGTGTAGTGTATGTCCTGTAGTGTAGTGTGAAGCGAAGCGACATCTGAACCTCCAAAAGTGGTCCTGAACCCCTAGTGTTTTGAGCATTTTACTTCGAAATGTGCTTCGCGCCACAAGCGGCATGCACTTTTTCGACATCTGAACCTCCAAAAGTGGTCCGAACCCCTGGTGTTTTTAACATTTTGACTTCGAAATGTGCTTCGCGCCACAACGGCGTGCACTTTTTCGACATCTCAACTTCCAAAAGTGGTCCGACGCTGGGTGTTTTGTACATTTTGACTTGGAAATGTGCTTCGCGCCACAACGGCGTGCACTTTTTCGACATCTCAACTTCCAAAAGTGGTCCGACCATGGTGTGCTTTGTACATTTTCACTTGGAAATGTGCTTCGCGCCACAACGGCGTGCACTTTTTCGACATCTCAACTTCCAAAAGTGGTCCGACAATGGTGTGTTTTGTACATTTTCACTTGGAAATGTGCTTCGCGCCACAACGGCGTGCACTTTTTCGACATCTCAACTTCCAAAAGTGGTCCGACCATGGTGTGTTTTGTACATTTTGACTTGGAAATGTGCTTCGCGCCACAACGGCGTGCAATTTTTCATCTCTCATCTGGCCAGCTGGCTCCGCACCCGCCGCTTTAGCGAGCCTACTTTTCGACCCTCCGGAGCCCCAAATCATTGGAAAAACACAGTGTTTCGCGACTTTCCTACCTTTTCTCGCATCTGCATCTTCTTTCTTCTTACTCTTTCTCTTCTCTCTGCCTCTTCCCTGCTCTGCTTTTCATCTCTCCATATTGTCGGAAGTTTGACTTCTAAACTTCCTTCGATGATTATATCATCATTATTGACAATAATGATAACTATAATAAGAACTATAATGGCAACTATAATGATAACTATAAGACTGACAATAATGAAAACTATAGTGACAACTTACAATATCAGTATCAATGTTGATATATGTTGACATGTAGCAACAATATATATATATATAATACACATATCCCCTTCCCTTGTCCCCTCCCTTCGTCCTGCATCACAAGTACAGCCCGTTGGCACATCGGTGCCACTGGAATCAGTGGGACACTGCACTGCAGTGCAGCCGTTCTGGTAGTAGGGGCTTTGAGCAATGGCCGTCACTGACCTAGGCGAGCACAGTTGCAGTTGTGAGGTGGTGCCATGTGGCTTAACCAACAAGACTTGGGACTTATAAACTTTTAAGTTTGTAGATCTTATAGTTGATATAGTTGATATAGTTGATGTAGTCTATGTACAATGGGGGCTTATAACATATGATTAACTTGTACTTAACATAGTTGATAACTTGATATAGTCATGATAATATAATCACTTTCCCAAACAGCGTTTTGTAACAACAGCGGTCTTTGTAATATATAGAATCCTCAATCTTCAAATCAACTCCCGCGTGCTGAGCCAACATGCACAAAAGAATGGGGATTGTGTCCCTTATTTATACCCCCAAATCATCCCATTTTAGTAGGGATTTCCATTGTAAACCATCCATTTTGGGTACCCCCATTCATGGAAACTCCCATTTGTAGCTATATAATGGATGTACTGTGTGTAAAACAGTCATAAACCATCCCCCAGTCTTCACCATTTTTATAGGTGGCATGGCTACCCTTCCCAGTCATGGCTGGTAAAAATGGCATTGTTTTAGCCACATGAATCAGGTATTAATCACTATTGATCACTAGTGACCACTATTAGCCACCATTGCCATTAATTAATCACCATTAGTCACCAGTATTGTCTAATCACCATTTAATCACCATTATTAACCCGTTATTAACCATGAATGATTACTATTAATCTTTGAGAGTGGTTTCTTCACACTGTAGATCGTCGATGTTCAACCCGTTCAACACCATCACCACTGGAAGTGGATCCCACTTGTAAGCGGACACCCATTTGTAAGCGGGATAGAACGCCACTTACAGCTGGTTGGTGGTATACCTACCCCTCTGAAAAAATATGAGTTCGTCAGTTGGGATGATGAAATTCCCAACTGAATGGAAAATCATAAAATTCATGTTCCAAACCACCAACCAGGTATAATAAGTTTCTAAGCTATACTAAGCTTGCAAAGTTGATTTGGGGGCTGTGTCCCCTTGAACCATCTTAAATCTCTATGTTTCGTCAGACCCCAGCTTTGATCAAAGCTGCAGTTGCCAGTCATTAGCCACCTGGGTCCAAAAGTAGATATCCAACAAATGTATTAATGATGTTTAATGGTGTTTTTTTCCACCTGGGTCAATACTATGGACCCAATGTGTATCCCAAATCCACATGTGGAGACGAGATCATCCTTTTTCTGTATAGAATTGGGTCAAATCCATTCAAATCCTCCATTATTGGTCAGCACCAAACTGCATTGTTCATTGGTGAAATGAGAATTTCTCAATTTTTCCATAGTAGAATCCTGTTTCCGAAACATTTGATGTTTAAATTTGGTAGGTAAATATGGGAATTGCAACCGTAGATCATGAATATCCCAATATTAGTAGAAGAAATGATTCACCGATAAGAGAACAAAACACATTGTTGCGTACATATCATCCCGTTATATCCCCATAGAAATTATCCCGATTGAATATTCCTATAAAAGGGTAATCACTCTCCCAAAAAAAAGTGGATTCATGGCCCCACAAATGAAGAGGGCCAGTTCAGAACTGGGGGTTCTGGGAAGACTTTGTAGTAAAAAGGGATTTTACAATAATCATCAACCGACAAAAAGATATCATATTGAGACATCATTAATCTGGGTAAATTATATATAATATTTCACTAACCTGAACTAAGGCCATTTGGGGATGATTCCCCTTATTAACCATGATTTCCAGTGAGGTCGCAGTGAAGTCGTTATAATTTACCCAGATTAATGTCCTTTTTTTATTCCCACAAATCCACAAACGCGAGCAATAGGCATCAAGTAAACAGTGACGTCACATGGAGGACACCAAGAAATTCTTCCAGAGATATCTCCATAAAAAATCCCATGATATACCAGTTTTCTTGGTTAAATCACATTTTTTCCTAGGGTTTCCTATGATATTCCAACTCAGCTACAAAAAATCAGCTACAAATCCTCTTGAATGCTCATGTTTGTTGGTAAAGCCACCATTTTTCCTAGGGTTTCTAATGGGTTTCCTTCCTATGCTTTCCCATGCCACGTCACCCAGCGAAGCCGGCATCGCAGGTGCAGCCCTTGGCCACGTCGTCGCCCTTCGAGTTGGTTGGGCAGGCTACGGCTTCGCAGCACAAGGCCTGGCGCACGGGCGCGAGACGAGGCCAGCTGTGCCATCAAAATGATGAGATGCGGATTCCCTTTGGATCCAAGTACCATGTCAGGAAGTACTTTGCAATGATTTGAGCGGTGAAATATCGTTGGAGGGATTACTTGGATCCGTAGGGAATGGTTTTAAAGCTGATTAATTGTCATTCATGATTTAAATATATTTGAATGCTTTAGGAATGGCTATTAATGGTTGATTATATAACGGTTATTAACGATTGTCATGAATTGTGTTGAATGGCTATTAATGGATTGAACTTTAGTCAAAAAACATGGGGGTCTTATGGGATTAGGATTCGCGTCGGTTTGTCCAAACAAAAGGTATACTCTATATCCATTTGTTTTGTAATCATCATTGTCTCTATCAAAACGTCGTGAAAACCAAGGCAAATCAGCGCTACACACATTGGCTAAATCACCATCTTTCCAAATAAGGGTTTCCATACATGGGGGTGTAAAAGGGAAAATCCATCTAGAAATGGATGAGATAGGGGTACCACGGTACCACCATTTATCGAAACTTCTGAGTCATGTGAATCCCAAGTTGTCAGCATGGACTGTGAACTCCTTAACAAAGCCATTGAATCACACCACTTGAATTTCTTAAACCATGAACAATACCCATCTCCCATCCATTCTTGTCAGATCATGGTATCCCGTGTGCTTCAGAATCCCAACTGCTGGTTCGTACAACATACTACGGCTGGTTGGTGGTTGACCTACCCCTCTGAAAAACATGAAAGTCAGTTGGGATTGTTTTTTTATATGGAAAATAAAAGTCATGTTCCAAACCACCAACCAGACGACCATGTACATGAAAACCAATCAATCACTTATCAACGGCCTATATCCCCCTTGTGTTTGACGGCTAAAACACCATGGTTGTGATGGTTAAGTTATAAATCCCAATTCAATAGCAACAGTTCGCCAACCAACACCCCCTTATTAGATCTTACTAGTGGGTTAAAGCACACATGTATGCAGTCGTTGGAGAGGCGTAATAATGGTTTTGTATCTGATACAAATAGTAAATAATTTCATAAGGATTAGACCGTGCTTGTCAATAGAAATAGCTCACAATGATGGTAACCAATCGCTGGTTATCTTAAATGGTGCGTTTTGAGTGGTTTGACACAGCCAAACTATAGTATTTTCGTGATATCCCATTATATCCCACTCTATCCAATGCTATCCCCATAGAATATCCCTAACATGTATTATAACAACCAACATTCATCAATTATATCCGTATGTTTCCACATATTTTATGGGTAAAACCGTGGAACAAACCATCCTCAAACCCAATAACATGTTGGTCCAATCCCCCTATGAAGGTTTCCAATGGGGAGTACCCCCAGTCATCATCCAAGTCATTAGACCAAGTTTGTAGTAAAACCGAGGAAAAACCTATGGTTTTGGGGATCCCTCATTTTAAGAAACCAATCCAGTTGGTTGGTTACTGATTCATCAATTTTAAAGATTTTATGGTTGAACCATCCTCAAGCCCTATACGATGTTGCTTCAATCCCCATTTATTTCATGGTTGAACATGGTAAAACCATCAACAGTACAAAGTGAGGACCCCCAGTTATGTTTGTTGCTCTATAAACCCCAGTGACTAGTTCGTTATTTGCGTACCATAAACTATAGATTGTGGAGTTATGTTCACCACACTGCCCCATCACTCATGACCTCTGGTCCCGGAACTGGCATGAAGAGTGCGCTCTCTGGGGTGGTTGTTGGCCACCACCAGCCCCTTCGCATATGCAATCGTTGTGGCCACAGGTGCTGCTGCCCCAGGGAGGGGTGCGTTGAGGATATCAGCGAGTCCATCAGGCAAGAAGAACCTATTTGCTCGAATGGCCACGTTTGGTGCTGTGGGTCCGAAAGCTGGTGACGCAACGCGCAGCCCGAAGGCATATCGACGCTGGCCACGATAAGTGGATGCCCAACACGCCTTCTTGATGTTCCTTGACTCCCGCCACAATCGAGCACGACTTGAGTCCTGTGCTACAGCCTTGTGTGCGGATACTGGTAGGGTTTTTTGTCAAACCTGAGCCACTGGCCCACCGTCCCTGGTGTGATGAGACCGTACTTCCTTGCCTTGGCGATGGCTTCGATGGTGAACCTGTCCATGTAAGTCAACATCTGCGTGACTGTGGGTTTGCTGTCGCCATGCAATTCACTTTCGTGGAAGCGATCTTCGATGAATGCTGTGTAAACCCGCTCAGGCAAGAGCTCTGTGAGATTTTTTTTTGACATTCTCGTCCAAGACGACAACACCTTTCCCTGTGAAGGATTCCACAAGGCTGCTCAGAGACTCAGAGATGGCACCTCCTGGCTCATCGACAATTTCCCAGTCTCGCCCAGCTAACCAACTGGGGCCCCATACTAATTATTATGATTGTTTTACCCACATTAGTATCTTATGCGTTGCCCTCTGGTAAACTAAGATGACCATGGAAAATCACCATTTTGAATCGATATACCCACTATAAATTGCAATTTTCAATGGCTATGTTGGAAGCTTCTAACCCGCGCCTGGCTGTTACCCAAGGTATCGCTGGGCTTGGGCTTGAAGCCCACTGGGCAGGTGAACAAACTGCAGGTCGCTTGACACGCGCCGCTGAAGAAGGGTGAGCCTCAGGGAGATCTCAGATCCAGGGTGCTTGATGATGTTTTATGATGTTTTTGGGATGTTTGGGGGATTCTATGATGTTTTATGCGATTTGTTTTTTTGTACGCTCTTACAAGAATTACAACTTCAAACTGTTCAGGTGCCGCTGCCCATCGATTTTGATGGCCGCAGTAGGGACACAGTTGGCTTTAATAGACAAATGTGATCCAATTAGTTCACGCTCGGGAATAGCGGAAATTGGTTCTCGCCACTTGTAACCAGCATAATGTAAGGGGACATAATGGGGGATAGAGCTTTATAGGGCCAGAAAAACGGAATTTCTGGTCCTTGCTTCGGAACCAAATACTTGGCGGAATGATTTTCAATGTATAGATGTAACCAGCTTGGAACCCAATGTGTAATATTCTCTCTGGGGATTGAAACAGCAACGTGGGAAGCAAATCAGCAATCGATTATTTAAAAACAAAACAACCAGTTATCAACAGGAAATGGATAAATTACATAAACTGGAATGTTTAAGCCAGAGTAATGGAAATTAAAATGGTTTCATTCAAAAACAATACAGTACATTTTTGTTCCAGTTGCGTGTCTGTTTAAAATCAGACATTTGCTGCGAAGTTGTGCGGATGGTGAAGCACCTTTGCCCCTATCGTATACGTTCTGCTACGAGGTTGGTTCTGGCCCGCCGTTTCCCGACCTCTGCAGCCTGGACATTGGTTATAATGATAAATGTAACGACGGCGAAAATGGCATTGAGCATTGTGAGAATTCAGCGAGCTCTGCGCCGACGCTCAGTTGACGTGCCTTGGTTGAGACATAATGCGAAATTCAATCGCTTGACCAATCAAGGACAAGGCGAAAAATTATCTGCTGCTGGGATGCTAAGGTGTCTATCTACGCGGGCATCGGATGTACATCAATGCTCTCGCTCAGGGGCCGCTAGGACTGCTGAGGTTGACGTCTTGAGGCGCTTCGATGCAGGTTCGCCGGCAGGGCCTATGTAAGTGAGACAGTCAATGTAACGACTGTTGTTCGGATCGTCGGTTGCGCTCGCTGCTGGTGTCACTCGAATAGTCGCGTCGTCAATTTGGCAGGATAAACTGTCTCGGGTTAGTTTACCAAAGGATAATCCCATCAGCCCATCAGCCTAATATAATCCCCAATATGGACCCCAAAATGAAACCGTAGATCCAATATCTAACCTCCGGAAGCCGCTGCGGTCGCTTGACGGATATTTGATATTTAGGGGGATGGGATCAATATCCTAATAAAGATTCATAAACAATCGACTGGTGTATACCCTCTGGTAAACGTTTACATAACTATGGAAAGTCACCATTTTTAATGGGTAAATCAACTATTTCTATAGCCATTTTTACTTGCTATTTTTGTTCACCAGCGGGTACCCTGTAGACCTAATTAATAAGATCCTAAGAATATACCCTAATTAGGTTTAAATTGGTACCAACGGAGGTATAAACTGGTTTATGTACAATAGGATCATATCGCAATAACCAATAGACTGGTTTCAATATACCCAATGAATATTGTCCCTCTATAAAAAATAGGGGGTTGGTATAGTATTCATTTTCATCTACTTCTTGGGTGTTCAAAATGGGAGAACCTTTTATTTCATTGATCGCCCGAGCAGTGGGAAAAAGACGTCGACGATCTGCCCTGCTTGGAGGGTCATCCCACTTCACTAGGTCCCCTATGCAGGGTATCCCATTAATAGCTGGGCTATAACCCCAGCTTCAAACCAGTTATGATGCGGATCCACCAATCGGAAAAATGGGTGTGTTTGAAAATGGAGTCTACCCCAGAAACTGCTATCTTAATATAGAAAAGAGGGGTTTCCTGAAATGGGGGTACCCCCAAATCACCCACTTTAAAAGGATGTTCAATTACAAACCATCCATTTTGGGATACCTTCATTTGTGGAAACCTTCATATCTAGAGTTCATTGTTGATATGCCTACTTTCATTATTATTATTGAAAGATGTTTGTAGATTGTATCCATTATAAATGATCTACATCTACATCCAAATATATGTATATATAGTCTCCATATGTTAACAAGTATTACCAACAACTATTAACCATGATTGGTAATATCACTCCCATTATTAAACCATTGTTAACCATGTTTAACAATTATTAACCATTCATCAACCGTTACAAACCATTAATAACTGTTACTAACCATCATTAACCACTTTGATTCAACCATCAATCAGTGTGAATGGGTATAAACCAAAAGATGATCAACCACTTCTCGGACCTTTCGCCCCGTCGCCACGGCCACAGAGGCTGCACCCAAGCGTCTGGTGGTGGCCGTGATAGCCCCTGTGTAGCCCTTGTCACAGCTACAGCCGCTTGGCACCTGACACTCGGCACCCCTTGGCCACACCAATATATATGTATATATATATATATTTATATGATAAGATAACCATAGAATAATGGTTGTATCTGTTGGATATATGTATATGGTTCTGTTGAGTCATATATAACTCATATAAATATATAAACTAAAAATATGCACTTGTACATATATATATATACATATATTAAAACTTCAAGCTACCACTAATTCCAATGACACAACAATGTATGTTATCATTTGGTTCTAAACGGTTGAATCATGAATATGTCTAACTATCGCTGCTCCATAAGGAAACCATACGTGTTTAGATATAGAACGTAACAGTAATATATGTATAAATAAAAATATGTGTGAATATTATCTAAATCAAAGTCTATAAATATAGATGATATCAATATATATGTATATATATAATAATAAAAGAAAATAAAATATAACAAAATATAATATAACAAAATAAAATAAAACAAAATATATTTTAATATAATATAATATATTATGTAATAATTAAAATCAAAATGGTATAATTATATATATATTCATTTCTACATATTTTCGATTATCCCCCGACCCACATTGCCGGTCAGCACCAGGATATCCTCAAATCTCTACGAACAGGGACCTCTTAGAAAAAACTCAAAACGAGATGTCAAAATCATCATCTGTAGAAATTGATGATGTGCGCAAAGTGGGGCCCCCTAGATAGCTAAGTTGGTGAACATAACTCCAATAACTATGGTTTTTGATATTCATAACTATAGTTACTGGGGTGTATAAAACAATGGATGATGTGGAGGTTACGATTAACAATAAGAGGTCCATAAATCGTGGGGGTTAATAAGAGGTCCATAAATATTCATAAATCATCTGTTATGATGATGTGTGCCAATAAACGTGCCTCTACATAACATACTCATAACATATGGGCCTCTACGAGTATGATGCTTTCTAAAAATAATGATGATGTTCCACAAATGGATGGTTTCATACAGGATATCGTGCCCCCTCAGCTGGTTTATAACCCCATCTAAATACCTAAATCTAATCATAAGATATGGGGCACTAAATAATTATTTGTTGGTTTAAATGGTTAAATACATTTCATATATGAAAGATATGCAATTATAAGATATTATTTGCATACCGTACGCTGTTGTTATAACATAGTTATGTTCACCAACTTAGCTAACGAACAGGGGGGGGGCCATCCTGTACCAGACCCCATCCCAGTGATCTGTACCCTGACCCAGATCTTCACCAGGGAACATCAGTGCCATGGGAATTGGTAGGGCAAGCGACCTCAGTGACCGGTGAGACAACTGAAAACAATGCCAAAAACCCGGGCAAAATCACCAAAAGCCAATTTTTTCCTGACAATTTCCCAGTTGAATATAGTTGTTAAATAATGGGTGAATTTCTAAGGCTATGTTATATACTATGTTTGTGGTCGGGGAAGAAACAACGGATCTATTTTCCAAGAGTGCTGCGAAAACAAATTCAGTCGACTGAATCTCAATCACTGACTGCACAAGCCGGCTCCGTCAGTCGGACACCAAAGAACAAGGGGTTGTCATTTTCTCCCCACCAAGCGATGCCTTTGTATCCGTCATCTCGAAGTATCATCGCAGTGTCGCAGTGGAAGAGGTCCTTGTGAACTCAACGTCGATGATCTTGCCGAGGCACGGATGGTCTATTTTCCAAAAGTGCTGCGAAAACAAATTCAGTCGACTGAATCTCAATCACTGCACAAGCCGGCTCCGTCAGTCGGACACCAAAGAACAAGGGGTTGTCATTTTCTCCCCACCAAGCGATGCCTTTGTATCCGTCATCTCGAAGTATCATCGCAGTGAAAGAGGTCCTTGTGAACTCAACATCGATGATCTTGCCGAGGCACGGATGCACCTGCAGATTCTTCTCAGCAGTGTCTCCAGCCAAGTGGCTGCCCCAGCAGTTTACTCAGCCATCAGCATGGATCGCAGCATTGAAACTACATAATGGGAGGAAACCAGGCAGCCGTTTCAAACGGGAACAACTAACAATAGTAATATAGTATAGTGATATAATCATATAGTAATATAGTAATGTAATATAGTAATATAGTAATATAGTAATATAGTAATATAGTAATATCGTAATATAGTAATATCGTAATATCGTAATATAGTAATATAGTAATATAGTAATATAGTAATATAGTAATATAGTAATATAGTAATATAGTAATATAAATATTGAACCACTAACAATAGTAATATAATACCCACAATGGCAGACATGGTCCCGCAGTTGGGACTTCCTAGATGGTGGCTATGTTGTACTTTGGGTACATGTAAATGTGTGTAAACAACATATATATATATACATATACATATATGGTCCATGGGTTGGGTCCCCAGGTAGCACCCCCCTTTCCCTTCTATTTGCAAGCTATTGGCAGCAGTTCTGAGGTCCAGCCTCGTATTTGCTAGGTCTTTGCAGCATTTCTGACTACCAGCCTCGCATTTACTAGGTACATGCTACCTTTTAGGCGACCTACGTAGCACACATACTCCCTCAAAGTACCTACGTGCCACCTATAGTCATATATACATGTGCTATGTATCTACTTCCTATTTACTACCTGTGTACTCTCACAACACTACATGTGTTGAACATATGCCGTACCTACAATACATTCCAATGATGCCATGCGTATCATACCTATCATACCTATCACACATACCGCACATACCATACATATGAAACATCTTTACCACACCTACCATACATACAATACCAAGCATACATGCCATACATACCATACATACCTTTCATAGGACACATTCCATACCCATCGTAGTAACCATACATACCATACCTATCATACCTATCGTACAGACCACACATACCATACATATGAAACACAATTACCACACCTACCATGCATACAATACCAAACATACATGCCATACATACCATACCTACCTTACATAGGACACATTCCATACCCATCATAGTAACCATACTAACCATACATACCATACATACTGTCATATCAAACATACCATACCCAACAGACTTACATACCATACTTACCATCCATACAATAACAACCATTCATGCCATACATGGCATACCTACCATACATACCACACATACCATACTTTCCAAACATGCCATACCAGACCGACCATACACACCATACACACCCAACATTCCATACCACACCCCCACCACACCACAGGGGGGGGAGAGGGACAGTTCCACACCCCCACCACACCACAGGGGGTGGAGGGGGAAGATCTCATATGGGGGCAGTATATGGGACCCATCCCATGGGGGGGAGGGGGGGGTGGCAGGGCCTGGTGCATATATAGTTGCAGTAGACATTTGTATACATATGTAAATGCATAAATATAGTTTTATAGAAATGATATATTATATACAGTATAGATACAATATATTATATACAGTATAGATGCAGTATATTAAAAAGCAAATTTAAATGTATAAATTCACATAAACATAGCCAATATGTTTTCACAAACTTTGCAAATATGAACCCAACCACCTGCACATATTGAAGGTAAAAAATAGTTAATAGCTCATTTCCTTCCAGTTAAACTATGCCAAGCAAAACAGTGTACTAACATGGTCCTATCTATCCCATGTTTGATGCTTAAAGCTTCTGGTAAACACAAAAAAACTATGGAAAATCACTATTTTTAATTGGCAAATCCACTATAAATGGGCATTTTCAATAGCAAACTGTTAGTTTACCAGAGGGTAGTCATGAACAAATAGGATTTAACACTGGGAGAATGATTTGACCATGAAACACTGGGATTTAACCATCAAAACCATAGGGATTGATGATCAAACATTGATTTAACCATGAATATGAATCGTGTTACCATTATATATATACTAAGTCACCAGCAGATAGAATATTCAAAAAACACTGGACAACAGATAGAATAGTCCAAAACGCTATCAGCAAATCCAACAGATAGAATATTCATGATAAGCAAAACATTAAAGAAACTATATGATTTTGATGATTTTTGCAAGCAAATCAAGAGATAGAATATTCTCACCTGCAAAAATGATGTATCCCTAAAATCATTGATTCTCTATGGGATTAATGAAATAATATTGCATTTGTGTTTCAATGTTTTCCATACCTTAAATCATTGATTCTCTATGGGATTGCTGAGAAAAAATGATGCATTTGGTTTCAGCGTTTTCCATGATGTTATATTTTTGAAATCATTGACTATCTATGGGATTGCCGGGAAAATGTTGCATTTGATGTCAATGTTTTCCACAATATTGTATCCCTCAGATGATTGAATAGCTATGGGATGATTAGGAAAACATTGCATGTGGTTTCTACTAATTGCACATCCAAACACATGAAAATTGTATTCTTTCTAAGGCTTGTGCCAATGTTTTCCTAATATATGATATTTATAGAATGTGACCACTGGCAGCCAGCAAAGCTGGCATCCAGTCTGAATATTCTATCTGTTGATTTTTGAAGACTGTTTAAAAAGAAATAATCTACAAATATATATACAGACAACATTATATTTTGGAATTCTTCCAAAACCATACCTTCAACATCTCCCACCCACCACGCGCTGAGAAAACGCAACTGATTTTTTCACAGTGCTACGTTTCGTCCATGTGTTTGCTGCATAGCTCGTTGTTCTCGCACTCACCATTCACATCATTCTCTTTGTTCTGCTCATCACCTTTCTGTCGTTCGTCTACATCATCATTTCCTGCAAAAGATTGTTGCTTTTGAGTACTTGATACAGTTTCTCCATCTTGTTCATCGAACTCTTCAGTCATCCACGCATTGGCAGCTAGTAGAAGATTATGATCCTCAGCTCTTTCTTCTGCACGTGCATTTTTGCGTTTGCGCTCACGCTTGTTCTTGAGGTCCTTGATCTTACGTAGTTCCTGTTCCCTCTTATTCCAGGGTGCTGGGATCCACTTGTCTGCGTATACCATGGCAGAAAGGTTGCTACCATGAATGGTTATATATATATTGTATTGTTTTGGTGCAATTATATATATAAACTAAACATTGATAATACATTTTATTCTTGATATATATATATGTCTGGTCGAAACAAAAACTTGCACATGCTATAGTATAGAAGTTTTTCCAACACCAAATCACTGTGAGCTTTGGTAGGAACAAACATAAAATGAAAGCATCATCACAGTCATAGAAATAAATCATGATAATAATAATAATCATCATCATAATCACCAAAATCATGTGTATATATATATATATGGCTAGCCAGCAGCGCTGGCTTGCCATTTTGTTTTTGATATGATAGACATCAATGCTGGCACATCATTCGACCCATGGAACATACCTCATTAATCACCGATCTTTGGCATGTTTAAACCCTATGATTTGTTGGTTTTCTACCCAATTAGCTAGTAAATTCAACCAAAACTTGAAAGACAAAACCATGTTTTCTCTTCGATTGCTTCAAGATTTTGTTTCTTTCTACCCCTAGATCGTGCAAGACACTGCAGCCACTCTTGTCGTGGGCAAGTGTTTGAATTTATCAGCACACATCGAACTGTATGCCAAGCCCTATTGTATTGTTCAGCATGTCAATCCAGCACGTATAAAACAATAGAAATATGCAGGTGGATCCAACAGATAGAATATTCCAAAACATCCCAACCACAAACAAAGTTAGATCTTTATCTATAAAGTTCATGTATTAAAACAGCAACACAGCTTTGCAAATCAAACATATTGATGATTTGATCTATATATATATATATATACGTTTGCTGGAAACTCAGCTGCCACCATTGCAACCACCCTTGTCGTGGTCATATGTTTGAATTTGTGAGCGCACATCGAACTGTATGCCAAGCCATGCTGTGTTCAGCATGCTTATCCAGCACACATACAACAACAGATAGATGCAGCTGAACCCAACAGATAAATTTTTCCTAAATACCATAAACCGTGAACAAAAACAGCTTTGCAAATCAAACATGTTAATGATTTTGTGTATATACGTTTGCTGGATAAGCAAAGAAGCCGAACTTACCCCTTAAGAAACATATTGTACACACATCAGCATGGCAACAGCAACAAATAAATTGAACATTTCAAATTCTGGTAGCCTTTCATGCCTCGTTCCATGCTTTGGTAACTCTGACCAGTTGGCCTTTTGCAATTTTGTCATTTTTGTTCAAATTGATGTGATCTTCCAACACAAGCTTGATAACCTCCAGCAATGCCTTCTTTGGGCTACGGTGTGCTCCCCATGTTC